ATTAAGATGCCCTGACTCCGACACATAAGCTTGTGATCCAACACAAGTACTACTCTCCCTTCATCACCAAAAGCCCTGCAAAAGTTTGGACCGAAAAGAAATAATAACATTAACACAAATAGCTCATGATTTGAGCTTCAGAAACTGATAGTAATGAAGTAGGGTTCACTGGCATACCATATCCTTCAAGGCTTCAACTAAAGTTGAATCCACCAGAAGGAACTGGAAGTTCGTTTCCACCAAAACGGAAACCAGGCTGGGCACCACCATCGGTTGTGGCCAATGCCTCGTCCTCTTCCTCCAACCAATATGTCTCGAGTATTTTGACAGCCTTCTCATAGATCTCATTGTTGTCATGACTCTGGAGATTCTCAATCTTTTCTAAACCCTCAGCATCATCAATCATCTGTGCATATAGATTAACTTCTCCACTGGAACCCAAATTCTTTTCAGCTTCTCCGACCTTCAAAATGTTCTCTAGCCCCTCTAAACAAACTGTAACAATTCTTGGATCTGGGCATACAAGAAGATCGCACAATGGTTTGATGCACCCTTGGCTGACAAGGTACCTAAATGGAAAGAAAGAGAGGCAGTCAATCAAAGAAGAAAACTAGAAGGTGGGAAAATAAGAACAGCCTCTAACATGACGTACTTAATTTGCTCATGAGTACCACCAGATGTTGCATTTGAAATCGCCCAAGCAGCCTCTTTCTTTATATCAAACTCAGCATTTTGAAGCAAATTAATTAGTGGAGGTATCAAACCGGCTTCCACGACGGCCTGCATTATATGAACAACACGAAATCTTAGGTTTGTTATCAAGTCCAGAAGGCATAGACTTCAGCGGTTGACATAATTGCTGTTAAAAACTGAATGCTATGCCATATACACAAATCCTAAGTTCCTCAAACTCGCCAAATACAAAATCCACTCTTACCTGAATCTGTTCCTTGTTTCCGGCAGTAATGTTGGATATCGTCCAGCAAGCTTCTTTCTTGATACTCTTTTTATGAGTGTGAGTCAACAAGCTCAAAAGGCAAGGGAGGGCACCATCATTAATAATACACTGATGAAAGGAATTGATCATCCAAATTAAACCCATTGGATAAAAGAAGCAACTAGATAAAATGGTGAAATCATTTACAAATCAGTGAACCTAAACAAGACCATATTCACTAACCAAACACCATATAAGTACACTCATAATCACAGTTTTTCCTTTTTGTGTTGTCTTCTCTTTAATACAGATAACGAGCTGAGTAACTCAGACACTTAGCAAGAGATTAAAAATGTGCCCACGATACTAGAAGCCTAATTTAGATTTACAGCCTTTGAAATCTGCAATAATGGACATATAAATAATCATTACCTGGGTTTGAATGTCGTCTCCTGTCACGATGTTCCCAACAGTGCGAAGGGCAGGAATGAGAACTGATGGGGAAGGATGCCTGAAGTGACATTTACAAACTTCCATAATAAGAAAAATGAAAAGGGAAAATCGTAAGACAGATAAACTCATTTGTGCAATATGTCTGCTTACAATAACAACTGTACAAGTCGTCCGCACACTCCTGCTTCAATCACGGCTTGAATTTTATCGTTAGTACCGTCAGATAGATAAGAAAGTGCCCAGCAGGCATCTGTAAGAACTTCTTCATCATTCGAATGAACTAGACGCTCAAGAGCTGGAAGAGCCGGCTTTACCTGCCCATGAGAGATTCAAAGGTTAATAAAAGACAACCAGGCAAGAGGATCAAATTTCTTGGTTTCAAACTTGGCCAGAATGAAGAGAGAACCTGATCAAATGGAGGCTGTGGCTTGCCCCTGCAGAAGTTTGAAAGCGTCCAGGTTGCATTTCTCAGCATTGAAAGCTTAGCATGCTCGTTCAACTGAGAAAGAAGTGGAATCAAAGCTCCATGGCGGAGGACAAGATCACGACATGTAGGTGAATCTCCAGCAACATTCCCCAAGGCCCAAACAGCCTAAAAAATCAGAAACCATGTCATTCAAGTTTAATATTCCACCCAAAAACAACATACATCACATAAAAACAAACGGTTAGACCAATTTCCTTCTAAGATATACCTGCTCTCGGACATCATCACTAGGAGAACCAAGTAGCGTAACAAAAATGGGTACTGCACCATGATCTATAACCACCTTCGTGTGTTCTGAGGTTCCAGATGCTATATTTGTGAGTGCCCAAGCAGCCTCAAACTTCAAGTGATAGATAAAACATCCAAGAAGTCAGTACAAAAAACAACAACTAACATAAATGAAAACTACAATAAAATCAGCAAAAAATCCCAACCTGAAGTTGAGGGAAATCCTCCCTCACAAGAAATTCTACAAAGCGTGGAACAACTCCAGATTGAATAACCTCCTCAATTGGAGGGCTTCTTTCTGCAATTGCCAGTACAGTTATTAAAATCAAACTTCCATAGCAAATGAAGACGAACGAGAAACAAGGAAGTTGGAAAATGTAGTACCAATCGAAAGTAATTTCCGAAACTGAGTTGTTGCCTCCAACTGCAAATTACTATTATCAGACCAGACCCCCGCAACCATAGACGGAAGGCTCTCCAACTGCAATCAAAGTCAAACTCAACTCTTCGTAACCAAAAACCCTCAAAAAACCAATCAATCGTAAAACCCCAAACATCCACATCGATAACCCCTAATTAAACGTTCGTAAGATTCGAATGATCGGATACCAAAACCTCCAGAATCACACATAGATCCGAGACTATTTCCAAAAACGCAATCTACAGAATGCGGCATTAAAATTGAAACAATCGAATGCGACAATACCTTCTTCTCGACAGTGGAAGTGTGAACCGCAGAAGGAAACTGCTGTGCTTGAAGGCCTTCCCTTCGCTTCTTCTGCAGGCTCTCTTCGCGTTTACTCTTCCTGATCTCCACCATGTTATCTTCCCGCCGGCGGCGGCCCTCTTCGGCGTCGACGGAGACCTTATAACGGTTCCGACGAACCTCGGTTCTCGCAGTTGGCCTCAACGACATGGTTTCTTCGTTGATTGACTTGGGCTCGTTCAAAGGACTCGATTCAAAACCCTGATAAAAATGGCAATTTACTGAAAGAAATTCAAGAGATGATCGGGATCGCCGGAATACAGAAAAACCCTAGCAGCGACAATAATTGAAAAATCCTAGAAACCGAACCTTGGGGTTTGTTCTCCAAGTATAGACGATATTATAAATTGTAAGGGTTCAGAGATTGGACAAGTTTATATAGATCCACGGTTTCGGAGCATCAAAAATAAAATAATAATAACGGTGAGTTTTTTAAACTGCTATTTCAGTCCTCAAAATTATTATTATTTCTCTATTTCTGTTCCAAAATTATACACTCGTTTAATTTTTATTTATTATTTTTTTTTTTTGAAACGATGCAATCGTTTATTTCTCTCTACCATGATTGTAAATAAAATTTGTGAATTTAGACTTATATTTTTTTGTTTTTCTTTCCTTTTTTTATAGAATTTGTTTACGTCAATTATCCACTCCAATGATGTGGAAAGGCTTAACGTGACTTCGAAAAATTATCGACAGTTCGGTACCCATATCGAGTCGACCTATTTGACCTATATCATTGACCGACGTTCCTAAAGAATAAGCTAACTTTCAAAAACATTTGCATGCAAGTATTTCTACCCGCAAAATGTCGTGATTCATAATCTTGTCGGGAGGTTATTATAAATTAACGACTCAGGAGGTGTTTTGAAAAGCTCACCTCTGTAAATAGAGAGTTTCGCTTCATTCTTAGATATTCAAAACTATACTCTCTCTTGGCATGGAGATTGGACTTGTGTAGACTGGAACATTGAAATTATTTACTCTCTATATGCAAATTCAATGCATTTGTTGGTAATCGGAATCTGAGCTTTGTCGAAGATCGGTAGAAATACTTGATCAAACACCTTATTTGTTTTTTATAGATACATTGACATTGACTAAAACATATATATTCATTTGAAGAAATTTTAATAAATTTGATTCCATACGTGTCCAATGTGTTTTGTATTAATAGAGAGTTTAGTTAGTTAGCACTTTCAGTTTGATCTTTCTGTTTTGGTTATTTCTGTTACTTCTATTAGTTATTGAGTGAATTATGTATAAATACCCTTGTAAGCTTTCTCTGTAAAATAATGAGAAGAGCTCCTTCATTTTAATGAGGGATTATTACATGGTATCAGGTTGTTTTACTTGGCGTCATCTCGATCCTTCCACGTATTCCACACTATAGTCATTTTTTACTTTCCATTACTCTGTTCGAATTTCTCACTGCTTTTCTCATTCTAGATCATGGCCGATTCCACCGCCAAAGATCTTACATCTCCTATATTCTTGTTATCCAATATATGCAATCTCGTATCCTTGCGATTGGATTCTTTACAAGTTCGTGGATGGTTCCTTCCCAAAACCCTCGAAGTTCTTGCAATCGCAATCGACGGCGGAATCTGGTGCTTCTTCATCCGATTCTGGAAATTTGCGGACAATTAATCCTGCTTACAGTGATTGGGTTGCCAAGGATCATGCATTAATGACTTTAATCAACGCTACCTTGTCTCCCACAGCCCTTGCCTACGTCGTCGGCTGTGAGTCAGGTTTGGGAAACCCTTCTCAAACACTATTCTTCATCCTCTCGCACCAATGTAGTCAGTTTAAAGTATGAATTACAGTCTATTGTCAAGGAGGGTGATGAATCGATTGATGCTTATATCAAGCGTATTAAAGAATTGAAGGATAAATTGGCAAATGTTTCGGTTGTCATCGATATGGAAGATCTCGTCATATATGCTCTCAATGGTCTTCCTTCTGATTTCAACACGTTTCGCACTTCAATGCGCACTCGCCCTCAGACAGTTTCTTTCGAAGAGCTTCATGTATTGCTTGTTGTTGAGGAAACCGCTCTTGATAAACAACTCAAGAAGGATGATTTATTTGCTCAACCTACGGCTTTACTTGCTAGTCAGTTACGCAATCAGAATCTGAATCCAAATACCTTTCGAGGGAAAGGCTATGCTGGTGGTAAAGGGAAATTTCCGGCCTCTGGAAATGGTAACGCTGGAAATCGAGGAAGATCTCCTTCCTCTGGTAACTCTGGAAACCGAACTCGCTTACCTGCGGCTTTGCCCTGTGGTGTACAGCATTCACCAACTGATTCTTCTCAACAAAGGGTAATTTGCCAGATTTGTAATCGCCCTGGACATACGGCTCTTGATTGTTATAATCGCATGAATTATAACTTTCAAGGCCGCCGTCCACCCACTCAACTGGCTGCCATGGTGGCTGCTCAAAATCTTGCAGTGGTAAATGGTTCTTCAACTCAGTGGCTTGCATATTCTGGCTGTAACACACATGTTACATCTGATTTGGGTCAACTTACTGGACTTTCTGAGTATCGTGGAGATGATCAGATCACTGTAGGGAATGGACATTCACTTCCCATTACTCATTCAGGTTGTGGTTCTATCTCTACTTCTTATTTCAATCTAAGACTTCAAAATCTGTTACATGTTCCAAATATTTCTACCAACCTTTTATCAGTTCATCGTCTTTGCTTAGATAACAATTGTCTTATTGTCTTTGATGCTAATCAATTCTTTATTCAGGACAAATCTTCGGGCCAGATACTTTTTCACGGTCCTAGTATAAATGGCCTTTATCCCATTCCTTCTACTGTCTTCCCTCCATCCACTGTCCATACATCTCCCTTGCCATCGCCCGTTGCTCATGTTGGTGCACAATCATCTTCTTCAGTCTGGCATGATAGACTAGGACACCCAGGTGATAATGTTCTTCGTACTGTTCTTCGTTCTCTGAATTTGTCAATGTGTAGTTCTCTAAATCATGTTTGCCAACATTGTCTTCATGGCAAGATGCACAAATTATCCTTTCCTGTTTCTATTACTGTATCTCTGTTTCCTCTTAAGTTGTTGCATACTGATGTTTGGGGTCCTGCCCCTCAGACTTCAATAAATGGTTTCAATTACTATGTTTCGTTTATTGATGATATGTCCAAATATACTTGGTTATTTCCTATATCTCGTAAATTTGATGTTACTAATGTTTTTAAACGCTTCAAACCTTTAGTTGAAAACTTATTCTCTTCACGCATTAAAATCCTTCGTAGTGATGGCGGTGGTGAATTTGTTAATCATTCCTTAGGTTCCTTTCTTCAAACCTTTGGAATTCTTCACCAAAAATCATGTGCCTACACCCCTGAACAAAATGGAACCGCTGAACGGAAACATCGACATGTGGTTGAGGTTGCCCTTACTCTCATRTCTAAATYCTCTCTCCCTGTAAAGTTTTGGCCCTTTGCATTTGCCWCTGCCGTTTATATCATTAATCGAYTTCCCTCTCCATCCCTCCAACATAAATCTCCTTATGAACTTCTCTTCAACCGTTCTCCKGATTACTCCAATCTTAAAACCTTCGGGTGTGCTTGCTATCCTTTACTTAAACCTTACCTCTCTCACAAGCTTCAACCCAAAACATCACAGTGTGTTTTTCTAGGCTATCCACCAGATTATAAGGGATAYTTGTGCTATAACATGAGCAACAACCGCCTATACATTTCCCGCCATGTTGTTTTTGATGAATCTCTTTTCCCTTTTTCTTTTCCCCCTCCCTCTTCTTCAACTTCTTCTACCAACGTTCCTACTACTTTTCCTCACCAACTTCCCTTATCCTTRTTTCTTTCTTCTCCTGCTTCCTCATCCACACCTCATGAGTTAAATGATTTGAATGTTTCTTCTCCACATGATYTGTCTCCCACTGATATCCCACCTGATCAGTTACCAATCAACTCTCCAATGGTTACTACTTGTGTAAATGATACTCCTACTGATATTTTGGATTTGGATAACTCCACTGCTGTYCATAACATTCCAGAAGCYATTYCACATTCTGTCCARAATATTCATCCTATGTGCACCCGTAGCAAGTCTGGTATATCCAAGAAGAAAGTCTATATGGCTTCTTCCGTTTCTCATTCTTCACCTGTTGARCCTTCCTCCTTCACAGCAGCCTYTAAGCTTGTTGAATGGAGAACTGCCATGACTGAAGAATATGATGCCTTGATTCGGCAAAATACTTGGGTTCTCACTCCTTTACCTCTCGGTAAAAGTGCTATTGGATGCAAGTGGGTCTATCGCATCAAGCACAATCCCGATGGAACGATTGCCAGATATAAGGCTCGTCTTGTRGCCAAAGGGTATCATCAAGAAGCTGKTATTGACTATGATGAAACCTTTAGTCYCGTTGTAAAGAAACCAACTGTTCGAGTTATCTTATCCTTGGCTGCTCAGTTTAATTGGAGTSTTAGACAAATGGATGTGAAGAATGCATTCYTTCATGRAGAGTTACAAGAAGAGGTGTAYATGCAACAACCTCAAGGMTTTGTGGACTCSTCTCAACCTCATCATGTTTKTAAACTATTGAAATCCCTTTATGGTCTCAAACARGCTCCTCGTGCCTGGTTTGAATGTTTTACATCCCACCTACTTWCTTTGGGATTTGAGGCATCTCCATCTGACTCCTCTCTTTTTGTTCGACATGATGGTCTTTCTATTWCRTACTTACTTCTATATGTTGACGATATCATCGTCACTGGCARCAGCCCTTTGTACATTGATGATTTAGTTTCACAGCTTCGRCTTCAGTTTGAAATGACGGATTTGGGTGCTCTAAAATATTTTCTTGGCTTAGAGATTGGACACTCTTCTRCTGGTATTTCGGTGTCACAATCTAAGTATGCTCGTGATGTATTATCACGATTTGGCATGCTTGCATCAAAGCCCTGCTCCACTCCAATCGCTCTTATTTCGTCACCTGCTGATGGTCTTCCTTATTCTGATGATGAGGCTCATATATATCGTGCAATGGTGGGAGCCTTACATTACTTGACATTCACTCGCCCTGAYATTGCATTTACTGTTGGAAGACTCTCTCAATATATGCATCGACCATGTTCTTCTCATCTTACGGCTGCCAAACGTGTCCTAAGATATATAAATGACTCTTTGGGTGCTGGTCTTCTGTTTCAAAAGGATAACTTTGCTGCTGCCTTATCTTTATCTGCATATTCTGATTCTGATTGGGCAGGCGACCACTTGGATCATCGCTCGACAACAGGTTTTGTGATCTTTTTRGGTCGAAATCCCATTAGTTGGGCTGCCAAAAAGCAGTCTACTGTCTCTCGCAGCTCAATAGAGGCCGAGTATCGAGCCCTAGCTATTACGTCTGCTGAAATTTCTTGGCTTCGCCAACTTCTTCAARATTTGCGCATCATCAGCACCCAGCCTCCCACTCTTCATTGTGATAATCTCTCTGCTATACAGCTCGCTCGCAACCCGATTTTTCATGGCAGAACAAAGCATGTGGAAATTGATTTCCACTTTGTGCGAGAACGAGTTGTYCGTGGTGACCTTCGTCTCTGTTTTGTACCTACGGAAAGACAACTGGCTGATTTATTGACTAAACCTCTCACCGGCCATCGATTGATGTTCTTGAAGTCCAAACTCATGATCTTTCGATCATTTGTTTGAGGGGGAATATTAATAGAGAGTTTAGTTAGTTAGCACTTTCAGTTTGATCTTTCTGTTTTGGTTATTTCTGTTAGTTCTATTAGTTATTGAGTGAATTATGTATAAATACCCTTGTAAGCTTTCTCTGTAAAATAATGAGAAGATCTCCTTCATTTTAATGAGGGATTATTACATTTTGGAGTAAAAAACTGACGTGGAAATTGGAAAATATACGGAGTTGCTTTGGGAACTGTTTAATTTTTTTTTTTTATTACTTTGTCATGGTTTGATTTTTGTGTATGATTTGTAAATGAGAGATAAAAATAATGATACAGCAAAATTAAAAGCAGTTATCTAAATATGTTTTATTATATTTTTGTTTGTTTTATTTTTATATTAAAAGAAAAGGCACATACGTTGGAAGTTGTTTTAAACAAGGATTATGGAACTTGTATTTAATTGGTAGCTTTTTAGATGGGTAAAATTGTTGGTGTATAAATATGGTTTATAACAATTATCAAATTCGCACCGATGTCAAAATAACAAAGAGTAATACATCGGTGTGGTGTTTATCACACACGTTCCGATGTTTATGTTAGAATCGAGCTTTGTACGAAGGTTAGTTAAAATATAATTTTCATAATACCTTGAATGTGATCTATTTCCTCTTATTTATAGAGGGAAAATCATACTCTCTTCAATATATTTTTTAATTTCGTAACTATTGGGTTTTGGACCATTTTTTTTAATCGTCGAACTTAGAGTATTATTTGGATTGAGATTAGAATCTAGTGGCAAAATTGGACCAACGAGCCAACTTTGGTTGGCTAATTGACCATGGGCTCGTCGGCCTCGACCTAGCATCGAGGCGTCGGGTTCGAGTACTAAGGCTCCGGATCACCACACCACATATCTTCTCAATTTAGCTATTGCTGGCTTCAAGTCTCAATTCATGGATACATGACTCTAGACATTCTAAATAATTTATATAGTACACGAAATGAGGAGATATAATCTTTTCGTAAAAAAAATATGTTTTAACCAATTGAGCGATGCGATATCCATAAAAAAAATTTCTATAAATATTAAAATTTTGAATTTGGGCTTGTTAAACCAGTACTAGTGGATTTGGGCTCAAGTAGCAAAGCCCAACTAAAAAGCAGGCTTGTTAAACCAGTACTATCGGGAATTGGCCTCAAATCGGCTCACGAAACTAGTAAGCGGGCTTGTGTTCAGCTACCAGTCGGATTTGGGTTCAGATAGCCCAGCCCAACTAAAAAAACCTGCTATCAGTGGGAATTGGGCTAAATATCCCAGCCTAAGTAACAAGCTAGTAGGGTTTGGGCTTCAGTAGCCCAGCCCAAGGAAAAAGCGGGCTAGTTAAACCATCTACCAGTGGGATTTGGGCTCTTACAGCCCAACCCAACCGCTGGAAACATGGGCTTGTTTAACCAGATATCTGTGAGATTTTGGGCTAAAAAAGCCCAACCCAACTATTCAAAACAGCTTCTGAAAAAAAAAAAACTTTAAATCCAATTTTGTGTGTTTTATTTTTAATTTATTTTTTTCAACTAAAACCTATTTTAGCGAATATGAACAAATTAACTAGTGCAATATATTTTTTTGTAAAGCAACTATTGGTTGAGCAAATTTTAAGCGACAAAATAATAACAAATATAAAAATGTCAATACGAGCACGGTTTGGTTAAAATATATATTCTTCGACTATATCAAGCTTAGAGGAAAAAAAATTGTGTGATTTGCATTATGTACTATAGCAGAGAGCAAAAGATTGGATGAGAATAAAATGCAGAATGATATTGAGTCCTGGATTTCTCATCATATGTCAAACAATCTTGATCTTTCCTATCAATCAAATCACACATATTACAGTGGAATAATATGGACAGAAGTCAAATTTATTCATCAATGTTGTGGGAAAAGTTTGAAGTAAGATGAGAATCTAAGAGTCTGCACAGAAAAAGAAAAAACAAACTAAAAAGGTTATGCACACATTTGTTTCAATCAAACAAGAGGAATATTTACATTGGAGATGATCTTTCAAAGGGTTTAGATAGAATCATTCTTAGGGTGTAATTAGACAGATGAGAAATCTCCTAAAGTTTCTTCCAAATGCAATGGCGCCGAACCCTGCATCCACAATCCGAGCGACGTGCTTGCTACGAACAAACAGTTCCACACGCATCCTAAAATAAATCGCTTCGACTTTGAACGCCGATGTTCCAACCGCAACCGGGACAAAGATTTGCATCTGTTGTGTGAGGAACATTCTGAGGAAGATTGCTTCAGTTCTTGCATTGAAATTTGAATGTTTCCCAGTTTCTTTCAACTAGCTAGCATGCATATATTCACAATGGACTTGTTGACAAGAATGAACTACCTCTGCCATCTATTGAGGGAGGACTTTTATCTTTAGAGTTACAACAACAAAGCATATTGGAAGCTGCAACCAAATGAGGAACTAAAGCAAGAACTTTTTTCTAAACGCAAATATTCTCGGTTTGATATCCACTAAAGTCGAACTCACTCTCGACCGATCCATTGTCTCCTTGTTGCTGGGAAACATAAAACATAAAACATAGCTAGAGTTAACAATGATATATGATGAATATTGCACGTTTAATAATTATTTGTTTTAAATTTCTGTTTGAAACAATATTCCTCCATGATCTAATACTTTTATCTATGATTCTGCATATTTGATTCCATCTATAAATTTTCTTTCTTAAAAGTTCGAGCTTATAACACTACTTCTACTTTCGAATCTCTTTACTTTGTAATCTACTTTTCAAAAATGTTCTCAAATCCAAGCTAAATTTAGATAACTAATACCCCGTTGGATAACTATTTCGTTTTTTGTTTTATATTTTTAAAAATTAAGCTTAAAAACTTACTTTCTTCCTTATTTTGTTATATAATTTTTATAAATATTTTCAAAACCTAGGCCAAATTTTAGAAACCAAAAACAGTAGTTTTCAAAAACTAGTTTTTTTTTAATGAAATTTGGCTAAGAATTCAATTTTTTTTGTTTAAGAAAGACAAAAAGTATACCAAAGAAGTTTCGAGGAAGCAAACGTAATTGCAGATATTTATATCAAGGTAATTGCAGATAGAAGGTGGGACCAATCAAACAAAAATTTATATCAAGGTAAAGAGGGAAACTAACTTGTTTTAGGAAGACACTAAGAAGTTCATCATGGCCAAAGTTCTCAGCTAAGAGGTCACTTTGATAGCTTGCATCAGGAATTGTCTGAGTCTTAACCTCCACAGGATTGAGAAGCGAGTTCTGAATGTTACTTTGTGCAGTCTCTGGTTGAGTAGCATCCGAAAAGGAAAATATAGTCTTTCCAACGACTGACATGTTTTGGTTTTGTCCATTCGTTCGGCTCAAAGGAAAACCGTTATGAATTAAAGTCGAGGGCGAGACATCAAAGCTATCCTGTATGAAGTTTCCATGGTGAGAATTACCAAAGGCCAAGTTGCTTACATTCTGAGAGTCCCAGTCATGGGATTTTTGCAGATGAAAGTCATTAAAAACATCATAACTCGACATTAGTCCGCCCGATCCCTTTAGATCCGAACTAATATCTTCTTGAAACACCCCGTTACAAGTCAGTGTAGATACCGAAGAATTACTCTGAAGAGAAAAATTGTTTGACAGTTCTGTGGTTTGGTTCATTGGAAAGTTCATCATCAATGATGCTGGCGAAACAAGGTTGTACCCCGGTCCATCGGCAGTCCCGTTTCCCCTCGTAACGCCATTTGATATGATAGGCTTCCTTATCGTTGACGAAATTCGCGGTAAGTGGCTAGCAGGGGAGTTATTTAGAGCCTGTCCTCCAGCTTGTTGTTGAGTCAAATGCATTAGTTGAGTTCCACCATGTTCACTCTTGACAATAAGTTGCATGTTTATGTTCCCTTGAGTCTGTGCAGAAGGGTGGTGCATGTTGGCAAGATGCTTTGGCTCCATTTTTGTTGGAATTCCATGAAACAAGTTCACTGGTTTGCTGTTATTCAGGTGTTGTGTTTGATCCTCAGCAAACCTCAATTTTGGATTTTCAAAGCTGAATATGTTGTTCTGATCAACAAGGGCCATGGATATGCTAGATTTTACCGACGACCTACGAAGCCCGGTTGCTTGGAGTGCAGCAATACTCTGAGGCGTGAGTTGGCCCACGACCGAAAGCGTCTGAAGATCGATCCCATTGAATGAAGCCATTGGCCCAAAAGTTGCTTCTTGAGGGCTGATAAAAGAATTGTTCAAATTACTTGGCGATACTCCACTAAGCCTTCTAAGATATAAGCGATATTTCTGCATAACCATCAAATAAAGTAATTAACATGCCTATTCCAACCATCAAGAAGCAAAGAAAAAACAGAGTTTTTGAAATTTTTATACCTGAAGGTGGCTGGCAACATTTTCTCTAGTTAGCCCGGGAACATTCATCAACTCCAGAATCTTTTTGGGAACAGCCTCTGTAAATTCAAAAGAAGATTCAAAACATAACCAACAAGAACACTGATCAAACTTCAAAGCGTTCCCGACGTAAGTGAAAAAGAAACGGTTAAAGAACTGCAGATACCATGAAGTAAAAAGGAATAGAGAAACCCAAAACCAGAAGCGAAGGATGACATATATCCTTCCAAAAGTTTGGGTTATATGCAGCAAACATATTGAGCAACATGAAGAAACATGGCTGGGTGAAGAATGATCACGAAATTCGATTTTTTTTTATAACTAGGAGTTGGAGTTTTGTTCTCCTATACCCAGGGACACCTGTGCCAGCCCCAAGGCCCAAACCCGGGAGACATTAAGGATTTTTTATATTAAGCTCACTAGAAGGTTCAAACTTGAGAACTCTAAGCCAGTATGACCAAGAGATTCCAAGCCTTTGCCAATTGGGTTACTCATGGGATTCGATTTACAAGCTCAAGATGAAAACAGCCGTAAATAAACTTGAAAATTATAAAGATCAGCCAATGTTACAATGTCAAAGAGTTGATATGTTGCATTTTTTCTACTCTAATATGCAGTTGATGGTTCTCTTCGTCAAAAGGTATGAAGAGTTGGAAACGATGCAGAGAGAAAACATACTGTCAATGCCTAGTTGATTAACAGCAACAACAAACTGTTGATGAAGCTCAACTGACCATACCACCCGAGGCTTCTTTAATGTCGATGTATCGTCCCTCTCCTCGGGCTCTTCTTCAGCGTCCCTCCTCCTCTTTGAGCTGTTCCAACTTCCTTCATACGCCGAAGACGAATAATTCGCACCTTCAGATAGATTTTGCTCTCGATCTCCATCCTCCACGCTCCCCGATTGCTCCAAATCCTTCCATTCGGTCTTTCTCTTCCGAACCACGTGTTGCCATATGTTCCTTAGCGCTTCTATCCGAACAGGTTTGATCAGGTAATCGCAAGCACCGTGAATCACTCCCTTCATCACAACATTCTTTCCATCATCCGCTGACATCACTGTACAATCACATGTCTCCAATATTAGTCTGCAAAATTATATGAAACCATATAACTATATATAAGTTAGCATTCAGAGATCCAGAAAAGCATCCAAACACATGTTACTCACTGATAACAGGCAAATCCATCTCCAGCCCAACTTGCTCTAGAAGTTTGAATCCATCCATGTCTGGCATATGCACATCGCTTAAGACGATATCGAACCCGTTTCTGTTCTCACGAAGCAACGACAATGCGATCTCTGCCCGGTTGCATTTTGTTACTGCAAATAATCAGACACTCGTAGTTAAAATCAGAGTACAACACCACCATGGGACAAAAGGATTCTAAATCTACAAATAAGTACTGAGAAGATAGCTTCTAAATGGCAGACTTTAATGTCATCTATGAACCGGATCAAATAGGATAACCAGCAATAAGCAATAACTGATAAATGGCCACGTCTCTAATCCTAAAACAAGCACAGATTCAAGATCAAAAGCAACCCTAAACTTAAAATTTCCTTAAGAAACTATATCCAAAATTGAATGAATTATCAACTCTCAGAAAACTGAAGCCACGTCATGTGAACCCCAAAAATGGAAAAAACAGGATTAAGAAAGAGAACCCAAGTAAGAGAAAAGAAACAAAGGGAAGTTGAAATTGAAACAAACCGGCGTAGAGGCAAGTTTGAAGCATCTTTTCCAAGATCCTGAGGCAGGTTGGATCATCATCCACAACCAAAACTCGAAGACCCACCGGGAACTGATCGGAAACCATTTCAGTAGCTTTTCTAGCAGGAATTAGAGCCGGCGTCGCCATCGATCCCTTTATGTGGCTCAGATCCATTCCACAGAGACTCAAATGTCCCGCAGACAAAATAGAGTGAAAAAGAAAAAAGAGACTACGGCTTCTGAAGATTGATTCCCAAGTTCACAAAACCCATCTGCAATAATCAGAATCTAGATAAATTTTTTTGTCCTCTGAACCTGAAATCGAAGAGACAAGAACTATTTCACTGCTTGGAGATCAAATTCTCAGATTGATTTCATTCCATAGGCGTTTGATCGTTTTTATTGCTTACTTATTTACGAGTATTTTACTCATAAAAAGTGGGTCGATCCTTGAAGAGTGCAGGACCAACTAACCCATGAACATGAACCCACCTCTCTCTCTCTCTTTCTCTCTAACAGTCTTTCTCTCTCCTCACTTGGCTTTTTCGTCCAATAGTTGAACTGTTTTCTGCTTTTCTCTCTCTGCAGTCCACTTTATCCGCTATAAACAGAGAGCAAAACCCAACAAGTGCCTTACTTTTGACAGTCAAATCCATTGGCTAAAGCTTCTTCCCCACAGGGCTTTAACTCGAGATAACAAGATACAAATAATTTATCAAAAAAGATTAAAAAAGAAGAAAAAAAGGGAGGTTTCGAAATTACACTAAATAATTACAACAGGATGTCTGACACACACAGTGATGACTGATGACCGAGTTTAATATTCTTAAGAATTGATAAGGTTGAGGATCGAATTTGAGGTCGTTTACTTGCGTTGGCCTGCTAAAACGACACCCACTTGCACCATTTGGTTGATCGGGATTCTGACCGAATCCGCCAAGTTCGGCTTGGACAGGTGCTGGCTCGTGAGCTGAGAAGCTGGTAAGTAGGGAATTTCCAAAAGAGAAAACACTACAACACTTAAAGTTAGTGTATGACCCAGCTATATACAAGAAAATAAAGTTAGTGTACGACCAAGCTATATACAAGAAAATATAGTTTTGCATGTCTGAAAATGAATGGGTGATCTCTATTTATAGATGGAGTTTTTGACAGGACGTCCCACAAATCTCCAACTGACTGTTTAAGGTTTCGAGAATCACAACATGTCATAGAGTTTGTTGAACATTGATGGGCACGGTTGGTAAACTAGTCTGTAGGTCGATTCTACTTGTCCTTTAAGTTGTCAAATTGAGAGTTAATTCGGCTTGACCTTACAAGTGAAACTTAAATCAACCATCCTTACACAAATTAGTCTTTATGCTAACTCATCACCTTTACTATATCAGAACAGTTCATTATGGAGAGATTAACTTAAAATAACTCGACCCACGAAAGCAAAAAGCTAGATGGCTACTTGTAACTTGGGCTAAACTATTCAATAAAACAGAAAGTAAAAAAAAAAAAAGTAAAAAAAAAAACAAAAATAAAAATTAATTCCACGTGCTCCAAAGGAATCCTGTGAAGAACCCAACAAGCAGGGCTGAGAAGGTTGTCTGTCTCCGTCAGTTTGAAATAATATGATAATTCAAAACAATACAAAAGAAAAAAAAGAAAGAAATTAAACATTTATTTTGCAGTTGCTTTCGGGCCAAAGCTACCCGTCAAGTTGAGTTGCTCTCGGCTGTCACTGACAAGCTTTTGATTATTATATTATTATATTATATAGTTACCCATTCATCAACCTGTGCTTCCCTCGGCGGACATCTGTCATTTCGGCTTCCTCGAAGATAAGATCTGTTTGGCTCCCATGCTTTCCAACTTTTTTTTTCCTTTACGCAGTCACAGAGAAGATGTGAATTAATGATTAGAGAAATCAAGACCGTCGGATTTATTTTCTATCATAATTTTTTTCTTTAAAATAGAAAAGAAAATTGCTCAAAATCATTATATTCTTGTCCTACTCCTACACCCCCATCTAGCTATGAAGTAAATTTGAGTAAAAAATAAAAAAGGTTATGGAGCAAGTTGGCAGAGATCAAATCCTTGCACTTGAGCCTGCCCTATAATCGTTCTATTCATCCTTTTTAAGGATTTTTTATTGTTTTTTAGCTGCGTAAATATGATCCACAAATATTGTTACCCGAATCAAAATGAAATTGATAAGGTGGTAAGAGAATAATGAGATTAAACACCTTTTAGATAAATGAGATTAAAAAATTTGAGGTGAGTCTTAATTTGATTTCATTCCTACAAATTGGTAGACACCATCAAATTAATTATCATTCTTTCGAGTAAACACAACTTAATTTTTTTTTTGTAGAAATAGATTTTGAAAATTTAATATACATAAAAGAGTTTTAGAAAGTTAATAAAAACCATGGTGTGCTAATAGTCATAAGCCTAGAGTTTAAGAGTAACTATTAAGTTCATGTTCATAATAAATGAAAAAGTCAAAAAAAAAAAAATTAGACATAAATAGTATATGCATTTTCCAAATATAGCAGCAAGTTTAAATTTTAATAAAATAGCATAATCTAAATCAAACTTAAACTTATAGTCTAAAACATACTTAAAAAAAATCACACTTGTGTTGCATTTGAAAAAAAAAACAATTCTTACCTTTTTTTTAGAATACATATTAAATTTATGGTATGAAATAAAACTTATCTAAAATTTAAACTTGAAAATATAATTCAACTCAAAATTTAAGATCATAGTGTGTAAATATTATGAGAAAATAATTAAAGACATTTTTTAGCTATTGATATTTTAATATACAATTTCAAATTTTCTAAAATAGATAATATAGGGAAAAGACCATGACACAAAATATTTACCATGGGTTGTCCTAAAATTAGTTCAATTATCACAAAATTATATATTCTCAATTCTTTATCCCCTTTGGATAAACACGTGGTATCTTGCTTTTTTCTATTGCTAAAAAAGTAGGAACTCTGCCAAAGTAGAGCCTACTGAACCGTATATTCCCTGAGTTGCACAATAGTCTAGTCTCTAAAAAGTAGAGTTTTTCGGAAGTGACATGGAAAATAGTTTTTTGTTATTTCTTTTAAAAAAATAAAAACAAAATCAGTTATCATTTTTTACAATTTGTTTTTTAATTGATTTCTTCAGATAGCCAATTTTTAATAAATAAAGTTGTTTATTATAGAATTATGAACTTGTAAGTAGCAATTTTAAATATAAAATAGTTCTAACTTAAATTATTTACAAGTTATTCTTAAAAAGTACAAACTTACTCCCATACAGCTTCCAATATTTCACAAAGAATATACTTTTAGCAAAATTGAATAAATACTAAAAGAAAATGTCTCAATCACTATTTTAAAATTACTTTTTGCTCCTTTTTTTTTTATCATATTCTAACAAATGACTTTTTTAAAGAATAATAAAACTGTTCTCCCTTTCAAAATAATTACGTTCAATTTTACAAATTATTGTATTTCAATAAAAAATTATTTTAAAAACCGATCTTTAAACAGATTCATTGAGATATTTTCACCACCCTAAGTTTTATTTAATTTAATGGCATTGATTTTTTTTAAAATTATTTCTCTTCAATATTATTTCTAGTTTTGTATCTTTTAAGATTAATAAACAAATAGTTAAATAATAAATTTATAAACAAATAATATCTACGGACGTCTTTGATAACCATTCTGTTTTTTGTTTTTGGTTTTTAGTTTTAAAAAAACAGAGTGTTTGATAATCAATTCAATTTTCTATTTTTTCTTTTTCAAAAATCATTTTGAAATTTTATGTAAACTAAAAAACAAAAAAAAATAGTTTTAAAAACAAGCTTTTTTTTCTCAAAATCTGATTTTTTTTCTTCTAATACTCAACTTTTTTTTTCTTTCTCATATTTATCTCTAAAAAATTTATTTCTCATTCTAAAATTTTTTTAGACTAGTTTCATTTTTCTCTCTAAAAATTTAATATTTTTCCTAACTTTTTTCTCTCTACAATTTCATATTTTATATTTTTTTCTTTATATTCGTATTTTTTCCTCTAAAAATTATATTTTATTTTCTCGTTCAATTTTATTTCACTGTAACTTTTATTTATCATTGTATTTATTTATTTTCTCTAAAAATTATATTTTGAATCTTGTTATTATCTCTAAATTTGTTTCCACTGTAATTTTTCTTTCTTCATAATTTCTTTTTTTTTCTTTAACATATCTTTTTCTCTCAACTTTATTTTTTTTCTCTACATTTTCCTTTTTTTGTCTTTAATTTTTCTTTCACGATTTTTTTCTAAATCTTTTTATTTCTCTCTAAAATTTCAAAAGTTTATTTACATCTCTCTAAACTTGTATTTTCATGTCTTTACATTAGGGGGAAGACAAAAATTTCCCCAGGATCGGGTCCAATAAATAGGAAATGCATGTCCCGACCCCGATTCCATTTTTTAAATAATTAATATATATTTATTACATTTTTTTATACTTAAATTCTAAAAATACTTAAAAACAATTATAAAACCGATAATTTTTCTTGAGAACATCTCTCGGACCCAAGAACGAGGTGGAGACGGAGACTAAAAATTTTCATGAGTACGAGGACGGGGGAGAGCATCCTCACTCGCACCCACATCATTGTCATCTCTACTCTACATAAAATTATTTTATTTTCAATTTTCTAACTTTTTAAAAACAAAAAAAAAAAACTAAAAATGATTAACAAACAGATAACCAAAAACTAAAAACAAGAAAAACCAAAAACTAAAATGGTTATCAAACGGACCCTAAAATTTTAAGATTTTTGTCTATTTAATTCCTTTATTTAAAAACAGAAATTAATATGTCATTGAACTTTTAAGGTTATGTCTATTTAGGACTCATCTAGCATCGTTCTCATTTTTTGTTTCTTGTTTTCAAATTTATTAAGAAACTTAAGCATTTGACAACAAAAATAAATTTCTTGTTTTTTATTTCTTATTTTTGTTTCCAATTTATTCTAAAATATAAATAAGAATATTGTTTTATCATTCTTTTAATCAATAAAGTGTTGAGTCATACAATTTTATTTTTCCTTATTAAAAAGAAAAAACATAAACAGAAAATGAAAACGTTGTCGAACGGACCCTTAATTTCTATATTCTTAAGAAAAAGTCCTGCACTTGTGTTCGATAGGCTCAAACTTTCTAATGGTAGAAATCTATATTATGCATAGAATTGACTCAAGAACCAAACTTAGAGTTTAACCTAGATTCATTCATGAGTGGCACAAGATTTTTGAAGGATTAACACAAACTTTTTCAATGCAACATAAAAGTGAAAAATATTTGCCACGTGGTGACCCACAAAGGGTAGGAGGGAAGAAATGGCCACCAGGAAAACTACAGATATGGCCAATCAGCTCAGTTTTCTGTCTTAATCACCACAAAAAGCAGCTATGAACTACACACATTAATATACTCAAACAAAATAGCGAGTCGTTAAAACTCCAAATTCCAAAAGAGAATTGAAATCCCACTACCGAAAGCTGACACAAAAGGGGCAATAACGAGCTGCGTTGAAAGCAGCAAGCAATTCAATGGAGATTAAATAATAGATTAGCATATGAAAACGACGGAAAAGACCCCAAAGAGAAGTTATGGGTGGAATTTGGAAATTTAGAAATAATAAATAATCCACGTTGATACAAAATGCTGATTGCTGCCGGCTAAGCAAGGTTCAACTAGTACAGCTTTATCTAATCACTTCAATTGACTTTCAACAAAAAAAAGGACGATGGATGGGAAAAAAACTCCATCCTTCTATCATTCAAATAAATTAAAAAAAAAAAAACTTAGAAATTTAGAGAAAGCAACAAAATCAAGAAAACACAATAATTTAGATAAAAAAACTCTAGATTGTAAAAAAAAAAAAAAAAACCTCTACACAGAAAAATTCATTATGTAAAAAATTACTTTTCTTTTAATTGGAAGTTGGAGCTTTGCTCTCTTGTACTAAGGGTATCCGTGCCCGCCCAAGGCCAGACTTGGGAGACATTAAAGATTTTTTATATTAAGCTTACTAGAAGGTTCGAACTTAAGACCTCTAACCGACCGGTACAGGAATATGCTTTATGGTATGCCATCGCACTTTATGCCAATTTAGATGTAATCGGTGGAAGAAAAACATATTCATTGGCATATCGCCATGTCCTACATGAACACTTAATATGTCACGTCCTAACATGTTGACCAAACAAAAGATAAGGCCAATGATGTGGTGTCTTGCTCCTAGCATGCCAAGGAGTGCAATTTGGTGTCACTATATTATTAACCATCACATTCGTGATCAATATACGCACACTCTAGAGCGAAAACTCTAACTTGAACAACAATTTAATCTAATTTAAGCATTAGAGAGGGTTTGACACTCACCATTGATGTCAAGCAACTCCTCGTTTGCAGGGATCCTCGAACCACGTCAGTTCTTCTCCATTCCTTCTCATCCATTTTCTTAATAACATATGACTGCATAAACACAATTATTATCCCTCCAGCTCTACTCAATAATGAACTACAATAGATGAAGCCTGTTTTACCTGTCGGATAAACTCAGCAGCATAAATGAGCTCATTCATCTGATGGACGTTCAATTTCTAAGTGCAGCTCCACGAGCAACGTTTTAGGAAAAGAATGGCTCTCCAATTGCAGCGAACATATGGTCTGCTGTTTGACATCGCAAAGAAGGTGAACCAATACAAGTAGAACATAAAACCCGGGGAAAAATGAAACAAGGAGAGGAAGAAATGATGAAAGAATTTCTATTGCATATTTAATGATACTGACAGCTACAGTATCTACCGTGCATTGTTCAATGCCTGGGCTGGAATGACACCATTACCAAGATCATCGACAACGAAAATGTCTTTCACCTGCACCAACTATGTATTCCGTGGTAAATTTCACGAGTCATTTAGAATGTTTTAAATGCTTCACTTTCATGACTTAACAATTCCCTAAAATAGATTATTTCAAGAAGTATCAGAATCATAACGGAGCTGACAGTGGATGGTAAATTCATCTCGATTGTGAGACATTAGGAAACCCGACATTAGTGAACTGATTCTCTGCATTACGAACAGGGTTTAATGCAAACATGGACAACTAAGCAAACACCAAATAACATACGAAGGAAAGCTATTGAAAATAGATAAAAAGAGGAAGAAAATAAAAATAATCCCTACATATTGGTTTTTGTTTTGTTTTGAGGAAAAAAAATGGCAAGAAAAGAAGTATTCACCACACCAGGACAAGAATTGGAACAACAATGTGGCGGCTAAAGAATACAATTTATGTATAATGCATAGAAACCCTCAAACATTCCTCGCCTGTTTCCTTCATACCAACATAAAATTTACTTTTTCTCACTTTAGAGGTCCATGGCCAACTCTTCCATTCCACCCAAAAATTCAAATCCCATATTTATAACAAAAGTAATCACCCAATAAGATAAGGTATGTGCTCCAACATAGAAACTAAATCAAGGAATTTGATGATGGATGGATTAACGTAAACCAACTCTCCTGGAAGTTGTAGCTTAGAGGAAAGAGTCAAATTTACTTATTTCTTCATTTACTTCCACACCATCCAAGACTGAGCTAAAAAGAACTTCAAAAAATTTCCAAAAAACCTACCCAGTGTTCCTTGCATCGAAATATATAAAGATCCAAAAAATATAAATTATGCAATTTATCAGAAATCAGTCACCTAAATTACAATTACTGACACTTTGATTCAGAGAGAATGCTATAACAGAATTTGGATCTGAACGGAAAGAGGTTATACAGCAGATAGGACTCCTTAAGAAAAATGCAACTCCCTGCTGATATTATAGCTCCATCGAAGTGAAAAATATCCAAACACAATCATGATACGGATCGAAGCCTTAAAATCCATCCTCAAACAAACCCAGAGCTACACAAAGCGCCATAGCCTAAAGAGCATTAGTCTAAATCAATTGTTTTCTGGTGCGTATATAGACGATTACAAAGTTAGTTTATAAAACACTGCACACCATTTGATTAACAAATGTATGGTTCATGTAAGATAGCAGAGTTCTACACAAATCTAATTCGGCACTTTCATTTTGCTTACGACAAATTTGAACGTCAAGATAAACATCGAACCTCCAGCAGATGAAGAGCTTAACATCATGCTGAAGTTGCGTCGTCCACGTCTGCAACGATCGAGCCAGAAAATAATAAATGTCGAGCAACTTGGCATCGTGCAAGACATAACAGGCAAACCTAATCAATTGGAGTAGCTAGTTTGGCCGGAAGAAATGGAGAATCCAATCCACAACTTCCACAAACACCGATTAACCAATAATCCAACATCAACAAGATAAATCGACAAAAACGACATGTAATCAAGAAAAAGTATATTCGAAAAATTGGTTGTCAGATATCAGCAAGATGAAAACGTAATCGAATTCCTCAGGAAAAATAATGCAACTATCAGATAGAAATGTTCACATCAAAATCTAACTCCCACGAATGGCACAAGCACAATGGACTGATTTCAACGGGAAATGAAAATTTAAAATGAAATCACAGAGAATCACCGGTTCAATCGTCGGCGACGAACGGAGGAAGGGGAGAGCCGGGCAGCTGCCGGTGCCATCCGCCATCGTTCGCAGTTCTTACAGCGGGTAGATTGGCGCCAAACAGCACGAACAGAAATCTGAAGCTGAGGGAATGTTGTGTGAGCTCGAATCATATACTCGGTCCAATATCATCAAAGGCCATCTTAACTATAGGAGCCTGATATTTAAGCCCAGTCGACGAAATCAAGGCGATTAAAATTATAAAACTTGCGATTAAAATGTATAAATATATTTTTGTTTGGATTTTTCTTTTAATTTAAAATTTTCAGTTTAGTCCTTTAGGCTTTAATATGTTTTTAGTTATATCCTGTTTTGTTAAATTTGACTAATAATAAACTTAAATTACATAATACTTAATTAACTCACGAATCTTTTTAAAGAAATTTCAAAAAAAAAAAAAAACTAAAATTAAAATAAAGGGCAAACTCGAAATTTCTTTCAATATCCTGGACATTTGGAGGAGAAATTATAAATCTCTATGTTTATAAATTTATATTAGCTGTTCGAATCTTCCGCCACACTTGGTGTAATAAATTTATATTAATCCAAGTATCATCTAGGTAAGTTAAAGAAAAAAAAAAGGAATTATACAATGTATGTTTACCATAAATCATATTGAATGTATCATCGACATGAACATAACTCAACGGTGAAGGTACATTACTCTTTCCTTTGAGTCGGAGGTTCAATCTTCCTTTCCCATATTTGTTGTACTAAGAAAAACATGTCAATTTATATATAGCTCAAATTGATAAGATATTTATATCATCTGCAACTTTTATAATTTAAGAATGACAAGATAAACTGAATTTGAAATCTACATAACAAATTCAATTGGTACATTATCAAAATTAAATGTGTTTATCAACAAAATGTGGCAGATTCGGTTGACATGTTTACTTGTCCAAATATGTCCTTGAAAAAAGTATTCAATAAAAGAATAAGGAGCATGTGATATATCTCCTAAAAAAACGAAGCATATTATGCATGGTTTAAAAATTTGCTCTGTCGAAGCATCCAACATGTCGAAGGAGGTAACTTCAGTTTTCCAATATTATTAATGATTTAAATATCACGGCCAGTTTTTTTAGTACATCAAATAGGTAAGTTATGACTTATACTCTTGTGAATAAATGACAAAATTCAAATAATTTTTACTAATTTCCATGTTATTTATAATTATTTGCCAATTCAAACCATTTTCATCCATTTATTTGTTTTTAATATTTTGATACATAAATTTACTTATAGTTTTAAATAGGATGGTTAAAAGTGATTAATTATAGCCTAATTAAGTTCAAATTAACATTTTAATTATTAATTAAAACAATTTCCACAATTTTCGTAATTGATTTCGAAGTATCCATCGATATCGACATTTGGAATTTTGGGCATAAGTTGAGTTGGAGTTGTCTAAATAAATGAAAATATTTGACTATATAAAAAGGAGAAGACATATCTTGTTCAATTATGTAAGTAAATAGTATGTTGAATTAGAAATTATCAATAAAACATAATCAAGCAACAGTAAATTTTAATTTACTAATTCAAATAATGTCAATGTATACACATGATTTTTGCTCTGACATCTTCATCGCAAGGACATTTTCGTGTTACTTATATATTTAGATATGAATTTAAAATTAATCAATTATTGGCTAATTAAGCTAGTTTTATTTATTAATTTAGAAATTTTGCATCAATATCCACAATTTCTATAATTTTTCTCCAAATATCAATCCACGTCAATATGTCCAATGACACGTCCGTAAAATCAGAACCTCTGCAGTTCCAAAATCGACATTTCGAACTTGGATATATGTGACCAAGATCGTAACAAACAAAATTAAAGGGGGAGAACTGCAATTTACCACAACTATAGGGCATTCGGTTTTAGCCATTAGAAAGAAAACAAAACAAAGTTAAGATCGTAAAAAACTAAATGAAAGGGGCAATATATGTGACCATTTAAAAAGGAAAGAAAAACAAAATAGAGTCAAGAATAAGATCGTAACAAACAAAATTAAAGGGGGAGAACTGCAATTTACCACAACTATAGGGCATTCGGTTTTAGCCATTAGAAAGAAAACAAAACAAAGTTAAGATCGTAAAAAACTAAATGAAAGGGGCAATATATGTGACCATTTAAAAAGGAAAGAAAAACAAAATAGAGTCAAGAATAAGATCGTAACAAACAAAATTAAAGGGGGAGAACTGCAATTTACCACAACTATAGGGCATTCGGTTTTAGCCATTAGAAAGAAAACAAAACAAAGTTAAGATCGTAAAAAACTAAATGAAAGGGGCAATATATGTGACCATTTAAAAAGGAAAGAAAAACAAAATAGAGTCAAGAATAAGATCGTAACAAACAAAATTAAAGGGGGAGAACTGCAATTTACCACAACTATAGGGCATTCGGTTTTAGCCATTAGAAAGAAAACAAAACAAAGTTAAGATCGTAAAAAACTAAATGAAAGGGGCAATATATGTGACCATTTAAAAAGGAAAGAAAAACAAAATAGAGTCAAGAATAAGATCGTAACAAACAAAATTAAAGGGGGAGAACTGCAATTTACCACAACTATAGGGCATTCGGTTTTAGTCATTAGAAAGAAAACAAAACAAAGTTAAGATCGTAAAAAACTAAATGAAAGGGGCAGAATTGCAATTTACCTAAAATGTAGGGCTTTCGCATTTTATCCGTGTCAGAGTTTCAGGCTCGCGGGGCGGAGAGTAGGTGGGGCGGGGGATATATTTGCAAATGCTCAGAAGAAGAAGGGCACGTGCGCAAAAGCTTGGTCTCAAAGTCGCGTCGTAGCCAAGAGGGTCGGTAGAGAGTCTTTTGGTGCTCTCTCCGTCGCGTAATTTCTGTGTCCCTTCTTCGCTGCATTTATCTACCATACCATCTCTACGAGATCAAATCTCCGGTTTAATTTTTCGATTCCCTTCGCGACTTTCGACAGCGATCGCGATCGCGATTTTGTTTGCTGTTAGAAGTCACCGAAGGATTTGAAGAAGGATCAGAGTTCCTTGTATGGAGGCCGACTCGTGGAATTCTCACTTTTCAGTAACATCTTCGCGACGCTACCGATCTCGGTCGGGTACGTTTCCAACTATTTCTCTTCTTTTTGAAATGCTTGTTTGGTTCTGTAAATTTCCCGGAAAATGGGCGTTATGTATTGGTGAACTTGGTGCAGGCCTGTACCAAGGAGATCATGAAGAAATTGAAGATGAAAATTCGAGGGCTGAGTTTTTGTGCCCGTTTTGCGCCGAGGATTTTGATATCGTAGGTCTTTATTGTCACGTCGACGAGGAGCACCCGGTGGAAGTCAAGAACGCGGTACGCCGATTTGCTAATTTTTTATTTTTAACACAGATTTGGCCGATCTGTAATCCTGTATCAGAAAATTGTTCTTATTAACCCGGAAATGTGCTGCTTTGGTTGAGATTAACTGATAAATGTGTGGAATTGTATTATTTTATTCTGCTTCCCTTGATAAGAATTGTGCAAATTTGTTCTCAACTCTGCTTTTATAAATTTGCGTCTTGCTGCCTTGATCTGTTTGGATTTCGATTCTCACCTCTTTTCCATCTCTGTTTATTGCTGTGAGGTCTTTTTGTGTTGGTGTCAAACTGCGTTTCTGGGTTCTGCTTCTTATCTGCCGCTTAATCTGCGTTTCTGGTCATGTTTTTAATCAACCTTGCTTAGTAAGTTTATGTCAACTGTGCTATTTTGCCTCTGTTAAGGATGAGGTGGTATGCGGTGAGGGAGAGGAAAAATAGGCGACCAACTTAAGTAATTAATGGCTTTATGGTGTTTGATTTCGTGCATCCTGAAAGATATCACAACTGCATTCTGAAACCAATTTTTATAATTGTATCTGATAGAGCAATTTGTTAATGGCGGGCAACTTTATAATCGGCCAATTGGGTATTAATTCATCTTCTGTTCGCAATGTCCTTTTCCCTTTTCATTTTGTTATCTTTGGATTTCTTGTTTACTTTTGCTGTATGGGCACCGTGAAGTATCATCAAATTTATAAAGTTTGGTCTCACAATTGTATTATTGTAATTTCAGGTATGTCCTCTTTGCACAAAGAGGGTGGGGATGGATATTGTCGGCCATATCATCTCACAACATGGGAGTCTTTTCAAGATATCCTTACTCTTCCTTTGTGTTAATTTAAATTGATATTTTGATGCTGGACATCGTGTCATCTTAACCAACTCAACTTTCATAGGATTTCCCACTTTTTCTTTTTCTTTTTCATATATAATTTGAAGGTTTGAGAAGCTATTGGTGTTTCTAGATGGCGATGGAGCTCGTAGGACTAGTGTCTCCAGTAAATTCCTGAATTGAAGGCCAATCCTGTCTGTGTCTGTTGTCCTTTGTGTTTTTTGTTCACTCGTAGTTTAGAACTCCACATCCTTGACTAAAAATACTCGCAGAGACAGAGGAGATTGCGAAAAATTGGATCCAATTTGACCTTTTCGAAGCTGAGAAAAGAGCTTAGGGAAGGAAACTTAAGATCCCTTCTTGGTGGTTCTTTACATACTGCCCCCACGAGTACTGAACCGGATCCATTGTTGTTTTCATTTACTTCTAATCTGCCTACGGTGAATAAACCTGTGAGAGTGCAGTCTTGTTCATCAGTCGAAGTAATTTCATCACAGGGAAGCTCCAAGACTGAGTCTTCAGAGAGGAGGTACGCCTTCCCACCAATAATAATAATAATAATAATAATTCTGCATGTGATATGATTAGAGGAGCCTTAATGTTTATTTATTCTCTAGATACTTGAAATAGCTTCCTGTCTTGAAATTGGAAATTTAAGTTGTATTTCTTATCAGGAGAAGTTGATCAATGTTGGATTAAATAGAAATATACAACAGTATTTCTATGTTTTACCTGGCCTTTTCAACATGTTCATTCCATTTCCTGACTATGCCATCCACCCATTTGTATTATATCATATAACATGCCCATTCTTCTTCCTTTTTGCCTTTACAAAATCTGAAACCTGAACCTTATCTTGGCAGCAACGTCCCAAGGTTGCCGGCTTCAAATAAAGATGAGAAGGAGAAGGCTCAGAAATGTGAGTTTGTACAAGGGCTTTTGATGTCTACCATTCTTGATGAGTTATGATTGGACACGGGTTCGGCAGAGGGAAAGATATGCCAGATATATTATGGAACCACGAGCGTAGGTTATCGATCGGGATGGATCGGTATGACTTGGATATTGCAGCAGGTGGGAATAGTTATTAGGTAATGTAAGCTATGCAATGTTCTATCCAGAGGTATATATGTGCATAAATGGAAAGATGGAAGTTCTGATACTTTTCCTATGTTATTAACACTTAGTAATATGATATGATAATGCAACTCTTAATCATAGATGGTCGGTCTCCAAACTCATCCTCTACAATTTAAGAGCTTCCTTGGAAAAATGTTCCAAGCTGTTTAAGTTGTTGCCTAGACTGCTAATAAATGTGTTGGTAGACTTCCCTGTTAAAGCATTGCGGTCCTTTTGGTTCGTTAACATTTCGATCTTCAATAATTCAATGAATTGACTATTTTCTGTGGAAATAGAATTCTGTTTCAAGAGAATTAATCAAAAGTCAGTAGATTTGTTTGGTTGAAATAAGTAAAGATTATTTGGTTCATGCATGTATTAAGTTTGTGTAACTTGAGATTCAGAAGTCAAATTCATGTTTTGGGAATTACTTTTGCCATACTATGAGGGTTCATTCAGTAACCTTCGTTTTCAAATTTCTTAAGAAATCTAAACATTTTGCAACTATGTTTTTTGTTTCTCTTTTTTTAGGAACATTCTCAAACAAATTTCTTCTTTCTTCGGCTCATTTTCAATTTGTTCCACAACATAAATAAGAAAATTATTTTATCACTCTTGAATGCATGAATGTTGGGGAAACAAGAAACAGGAATGAGTCCTGAGTTTTTCAATTCTGTGAATTTTGTATAATTCATATATAAGTTTTTCAATTCTGTGAATTTTGTATAATTCATATATAAGCATTCTGTGAAATTTTTATAATTCAATTTCAGACTTGTACAATTAAAGTCTAAATGATATTGAAAATTTTGACCTAAAGTTAGTCTTATAAATTCTCATCGATGTCACATAAAGATGAAATTACGAATTTACCCTCACATTTCTAAACAAGCGTAAGAAAGTAAAAAAATCCACTAGAGTATTCCTTACTTAGGGAGGTCCAAAAGTCAAATTCGACCTCCAATTATTTTATTGAAAATTTGAAACCCATATTAACTCTTACATTTGAAATTACAGTAATAATAAGCATGCAAATTCACCAATAATTCCACCATCATTGGAAAATCACCAGGAAAAGCCACACAACACACCCTTCAAACAAAAACAAATTACATATATTTTATTTTATTGCATATTGAAATGCTATAAGTTAGTTTTGGTTGGGCTCAGTTGTATTCCTGAGGGTGAGCCAAGAGGTAGTTCTCGGCGGCCTTAAGAAGGGCCAATCCCTTCTCCTCGCCGGTCTTCACTTTCTCCTCGTTGATTTGGTAATCTCCTTTGGTGTGATACCTACTGCTGCTCTTCAACACGGATCCTCCCTCCGCCGTCGCCGTTAACGTTAACTCTCTTGTTATCTCATCTATGAATTCCGATAACGGCTCCCCTTCGATCACGCTGTATTTGTACGTCAAACTTTCTTCGTCCACCGTCTCGATCCTGTGCTTCATGTATTTCACATGGCTACCTGTGAAAATATTAATTAATTTTGGTTTTGTCTGAAAATATGGTTAATTTGAAGAAAAAAACAAACAAAGAAATATAGGGAAGTTCGTAAAATATTTTGAAATTATAGAAGTTGTATGAATTATATTGCTACGGGCACTTGGTTTGCTTAGAATGTAACATATTACAAAATGTTGAGATTTCATGCTGCCTTTTTCTTCGTTTCAAGGAAAATGAGTGGTGGAATAGCAAGAAAATTCAGTTATGCTTGGTAAACATTGGTGAGGGTGAAAATCGAGGTAACGTGTAAGGCTCAAATGACGACAGCTGGCTGTGGGACCAAAATCTGTGGTAGGCGTACGATTCAGGGAGGATGCAATGTTGGCAACTGCAACACAGTACGCAAGGCATGTCACAAATTACTAAGGTATTCTCTGCTCACTCTTTCTCCCATTATTAACTTGATTGGAGATTATTAGTCGGGCACCGTACCGATGTCAAGAATCGTTGTAGATTCATTGTTTGACAACTCCCCGTTATTAAGGATACGTAGACTTTTTCAAATTTCAGCATCAACAAATATAGAAATATTTATTCTTAATTGTAAACTAATTTTTCTTTAAGATGTCACTTTTTAGTACAATATTAAAGAAGTAAAGTGAGAATTCAAATCTTGAACGTTTAAGAGATGATACGGATGCTGTATTTTGGCTGATTAAGTGATATATTGATCAAAAGTGTCATATTTTTAAAAATATTATTAAAATATGTAATAGGTAAATCATGGTACAATCAAGTTTTGAGATAATAAAAAAAAACTAAATGATTTGTGTAAATGCTAATTTGACATTACCGTGACCGAAAATGATTTTTTTGACGGTTCCAGGCCCTCCATCTCCTTCAAGAACTTGGACTTCCACTTGGCTGGGTATAATCTTGGGGTACAGCTGGTTGGCATCAAGGATAAAGGCCTTGAAGAACTTAGCTGGAGGGATACTGGTGGTTACTTCCTTTTCGTAAGTGTAAACGCCCATTGCTATGCGTCACAGCGCTGTAATTTTAGCAAAAGGAATGATGAATTATAATCTGGATAATTATTGACTAACAAGAAGGTTTTGATTTGAGCTTGGAGATGAATTGCCTCAGATTGTTCTATTTATAGTTTTAGATATGAGCTTACCTATTGCCTCTGAGATTTCTATATATCCTTTTTTTAGGATTTTTTGAAGTGGAGGTGTAGCGAGGGAAAGATTTTATATTAGTGAAAGCAGCGTACATTTGGATCCAATTGATCAAGAAATTAACATTTAGATAAATAATATTATATTAAAATATTATTTTAGTATGCGTAGCTTCAATTTTGGATTTTTTTTTTCCTAGCCTTTCAAAACATTCATTCTTTCTAATCTCTATACTTTTAATCTTTTATTTATTTTAGTTATGAGAAAAAATTTTAGTCGGTGTACTCGAAGTTAGTTTTTGTTTTAAAAAGTTACCATCTTAGTCTCGTGTTTGGGAAAGATTTTGACACGGTTAAAATCACTTATTTTCCATTAAATGGTAAATTAAAAAATTGATTTTATTAAAGTTAAACATATCCTCCCTTTTCATTTTTTATCTTATTTATTTTGATCAAAATTTCAACATGATATTTCCCTCAATAAAATGACCACTTTTTAAAAAATTCAATGATCAAAATAGATGTTTTGAAAATGTATATACTAAATTAAATAAAATTTAAAAGTATATAAATCGAAATAAGCCAAAGTCAAAATTAAAATTACACTGACCAAAATATTATTTGAACCATAAAATAATCATAGATAAAAGTCATAATTGATTTAATTTAAATTAATTTCACTTTATATATTATCGAGGTGGCCAAATAAACACTCTACTGGATTTTATATTATATACGCAAGCAATTATATAATATTAATTCTGTCGACAAAACAGAAAAATGATCATATCTCTTTTTCATGATCTTCTTACATTTGACTTAGAGTAATTTAATTTCAGGATTGTTTTTAAAGATTATGATTATTTTTTTATAAAATAACTTAAGCGTTTGATTAAAATGATTGATTGACTGAATCATATGTATATTTTGTTTAGTTTACAATAATAATTGAGATAAATATTCCATTTAATTATAAAAACTCTTTGTTTTATTAATAAAGTTAGAATATGGGAATTGCCTGTTGAAGAGGGTATTCGCCTAGTCTAACATCTAGAAATTTGAATGATTGACTTGACTGAAATTTGAGTGATAAATAAGTGAAAATGTAATATTGAATAAATAGAATGAATTAACGATATAAAAAGACTCATTAATTTTTAAAAATATTATGAAAAATTAACAAAAACATGAACATAAATGTTAAGACATATTAGAAGTTTAAACAAAAACATGAACACATATGTTAAAGATATATTAGAAGTTTGGATAGAAATGAATGAATTTTGTGGGTTGATTAATTTTTATGAGTTTTCACAAATATTTGTTAACATGAATATAATATTAATATATGTCGTGTTACTTAATTTTCAAAGTCAAACAAAATTTATAATCGGTCTAGAAAAACAGTTATATTTTTCTAATTGAGCTGAAAATCAAAGTAGAATATATTTTTTTTTCTTTTTATTAAAAAAAATCACCATGCTTATGAATTATGATCCAGGAAAGTCCGTTGAAAAATAAACAATAATTTAGATGTATCTTAAAATATTGCGTTGTTGTCTCGTTAGATATTCAAATCCCCCCACGTTTGTACATGGTTAAATTTAAAAAATTTAAGTAAGTTTGATAATATTTTCATTTTTTATTTTTGTTTATTCCTTTTTAATGAAGAAAAATAGAATTGTATGACCTCAACATTCATGAATTCAATGATGATCAAACAATATTTAGATTTATGTTTTGTAACGAATTGGGAACGGAAACTAAAAATAACAAACTTATTTTGATTGTTTCTAAAATTTCTATATAATTTTGAGAATGTTTCGAAAAAAATGAGAAATCGAGAATATAATTAATTATTAAAGTTTTTTTTAACAAAATTTGGAAACGAAAAACAAAAAACATAGACGTTAGTCGTTACCAAACGAGTTCTTATTTTCTAAATTGTTATTTATATTGAAATTAAGCTTATTTAAAATGAGAAAATGATTTAACTTTTCTTTTTTAGTAGAATGAATTGAAGCTGCGCTAAAAAAAAATTATCGAAGCAGTAACAATATATATTTGAAATTGAACTAATTTATAATAGAGAGGTGAGATCTCATTTGCATTGTAACTATTAGAGAATGAAAGTAATTTAACTTGCACACTTTATTAAAAGAACAAGGGCCATATATATAGGCCAACGGAGAAATCTGTTACAACAACTAACCCCCAGACTTTAACAGTGTAAAATTACAGAGATAAATAATCTCTAATACTCTCCCTCGGGATGGAAGTATGGGATTGAGAACCACCCATTTTGGACAACAAGAAAGAGAAAGGCTGAGAAGACAGAACCTTTGTAAAAATGTCAGCTTAATTAGTCCGAACAGTCAAAAGTTTCACCCTCCCATCAAGAATTTTGTCACGAACAAAGTCACAATCCAACTCGATGTGCTTCGTATGCTCATGAAACGACGGATTAGAGGCAATATGTATGGCGGCGTGATTATCACAAAAGAGAAGAGCCGGGGACTGAGAAGTAATATGTAAATTTTTAGAGAGATGGAAAAGCCAAACAATTTCACTCATAGTTGTGGCAAGAGCCTGATATTCGACCTCTGCATATGAGTGTGAAATAGTGCTTTGTTTCTTGGCTTTCCAAAAACAAGAGAATCACCCAAGAAGATGTAATAGCCACTGGTAGACTTTCGGGAATCCAAACAGGATACCCAATCCGCATAAGTAAAAGCACGAATTTGAAAGGAGGTAGATGGTGGTAGTAAGATACCTGTATTTAGAAGAATATATCTCTTCAAATTTTCTTAAAATATATTCGTACAAATTAGTCGAATCCTGATTTCTGAAAAATAAATTAGAAAAAGGAAAAAATTGACCCCATGAAAACGGTGCGTCTAAGGAGTTTTCATTCATGTTAAATTGAGGCATTTTCTTGCTTAATTTAGGGGATTTTTTTAATATTGTCTTTTTTAAAACTTGTTTTAAAAATATTACTCATATTAAACTTATTCTAAAAGTTTTATCCAATGAAAAATAAAAAAAATATATTAATCTTCCCGAATCATCAAAAAATTCATTATTCAATTATCAATCTAAATATAATTCAACTAATTAAAGTATAAATTTCGACCATCTCACGTCACATATTATAGTATTATTGTAGTATTGAAGAGAAGAAAAAAAAAGTTCATTATTCAATCACTTCAACGAAGCCAATACAACTTGTTACCTTTGAAAATACAATCACAAGCATACAAAACCCCACAAAGACGATCAAGCCTTGTTAGAACTTGGAAAGAACACTCCCAAAAAGGCCACACCACATGACATAAAAATATTAATATATATTATTTTATAGCATTATTGAAATAATAGCATTTTTTTTTTTGGTTAATTGTATTCGGTGGGGTTGGCCAAGAGGTAGTTCTCGGCGGCCTTGAGAAGGGCCAATCCCTTTTCCTCGCCGGCCTTAACTTTCTCCTCGTTGATTTGGTAATCTCCTTTGGTGTGATAAGTGGCGACGCTCTTCAACACGGATCCGCCGTCGGGCCCTGCCGTCACCGTTATCTCCTTCGAAATTTGCTCAATGTTTTCCGAAAACATCTCCCCTTCCAGCACCGTGTATTTGTACGTTAACGTCGCTTCATCCACCACGTCGATTCTGTGCTTTATGGATATCACATTCCCGCCTGAAAAAAAACATATATTCATTTACAACTTTAAATTATATCTGCAATTTTCGAATTTTCATATTTATTATATTTTAGTTTTCAAGTTCTTGGGTTAAAAGAAAATTTACTTTAATCATTTTTGTTATTTCTTTGTAAATCATTTAACATAATCCAAACTCCCAAACTCACTTGTGGGTGCATCACTTCGTAATTTATGTCATATTAAATCAATAATGAATTCAAAAGCAAGCATTAGTAAATTTAATTATTTATAAGTAATAATATATAGTATTTCAATTTTGAAAATTATAGGGAACACCAATAGAAAGAATTTTAAGGTGTTTTTTTTTTCAAACCTAAGACAAACTAAGAAGGGGCAATTCACCCTGCAATGAACACATTTATTTGTAGGAGATATCTATCTTGGTAATCTTGGTAATTTTTATGTAATATATTTAATATATTTTAGAAGTCAAATTAAAAAAAGAAACTAGATTTTAAAATTTTGTTAAAGGTAGAAAATTAATGTGACAATGACTAAATTAGGTTTGAGGACTATACCGAATGTTTAAAAATTCAAAGATGAAAATGAAATAGGAACAAATTAATTAGGATTAAAATAATCCTATTTGATCAATATTTTAATAACCTCGAATGAGTATATAACGACACAAATTTTTGAAGACTATATGATAGAACTAATTTTACCAATATTCCATATAATATATTTACATCTCGAAGAGTTTCAAATTATCATGAAGAACTTAAAGAAAATTAACTTCAGCAAAGTTAAACAAAAATTTTAAATATAGTGATTATTTATTTATTTATTTATCTTGTTTTGGGCGGGGATGCTAATTTAACATTACCGTGACTGAAGGAGATCTTTTTGATAGTTCCAGGCCCTCCATCTCCTTCGAGAACTTCGGTTTGCGGGTGACTTGGCACGATCTTGGGGTAAAGTTGGTCGGCATCAAGAATAAATGCCTTAAAGAACTTTACTGGAGGGATGCTGGTGGCTACTTCGTTTTCGTAAGTGAAAATACCCATTGCTATATCACAGCCCTGTGAGTTTAGCAAAAGAAAATTTAGACAATTATTGACTAAGGGTCAGGGAAATGCTCAATTTATAGTTGGAAGTTTGGAACTGGGAGATGAAGTGAAGCTTGCGAATAAACTTGAAGATTTTAATTTATTTTAAAAATTCAAAGTTTGATCAAGTTTTTATTTATTTATTTATTTATTTTTTAGTTAAGATGCTGTGAAGGAATGATTTTAAATTAGTAAGGATAGCGTGGATGAGGCTCCAATTGATTTTCATTGTTTATATCATCTATACATTTATTTTTAATTTTTAATAAAATTGAGAAAATTAAAATATGACATTATATATTTCAATAATTGCATTTGTTTTACCATCGACATCGACATCGACGTTATATGTAAGTTGAGATGAAAAACACTCCCATTTATAGAGTAGAAACAAAATATTTCGAATTCACAACATATTTTTAATATAACCTACTAAGTACTAACAATAATTAACTAAAATGACTGTTACCAACAAATTAACAACATATTTACTTGTTTCAAAAAAAAAATTAACAACATATTTACTTCAGCTTAACTATCTGGGTCTATCAACTCAATTGGGCTGCATTAGCACATTTGATTAAGATGATTGATTGACTGGATCATATGTATATTTTATTTAGTTTACAATAATTGAGATAAATATTTCATTTCAAATAATTATAAAAATCCTTTGTTTAATTGAAAAATTAGAATATGGAATTGACCATTGAAGAAGGTGTCCGGCCAGTCTAGCATCTAGAATTTGGAGTGGTTGACTTGACTGAAATTTGAGGGATAAATAAATGAAAATAATAAATATCAAATAAATCGAGAGAATTAACGATATCAAAAGATTAGTTAATATTTTGAATTCTTTTTAAAAATTTTAATGTAGCCTGAAAATTACGATAAAATCTTTTTAATTTTTTTAAAATCCAATGATCATGATCTAAGAAAGCGGCGTTGAAAACCAAATAGTAATTAAAAAATGGCACCTTAGTTTCTAAATTGTTGTCTATAATTGCAATTAAGTCCGTTATTTATTATTATTATTTTATTTTTTATCGAGCTTAGTTTAGTGATAATTCACATTATATTTTAGAAAATTTTTAATTTTTATTTAAATTTTTTAAAAATATATTCATACAATATCTGATTTTAATTAATCACTTAAAAAATTCAATGGAAAAGTAGTTTTCTTACTGTTTATTAATATTTTTTTTATTTCAGCAACATGTGAGGAAGAAGATTAGAACTTTCGGATTTTTAGTTAAAAAAAAATGTCTAGTTGAACAAGATTTCAAGTTGGCCTTTCGATTTATTAATATTATTAAAGACTTTATGTCGTTATTTTTAGTACAACATGTAACGTGTGGAAAGTGAGAATTTGAACCCCAGCGATCTTTTGATAGGAAGTAGTTACCTTTATTAATTGCTATACTCATGTTTATAAAGGTTTAATTTTATCATCTATTAATTTGATATGATTGTGATGGATAACCAACATCAAAAAAGAAAAAAAAAATTATTGATAAAAAAATGGACTCCACAAAGAAAAATTATTCAAAGTATAGGCCTTGTATGGTTGTCTCTCTAAACATGGTTAAACCATAATTTTTTGTTATTCTCAATCTTACATCCAATCCAATGGTATAAAACAAACATCCACATTTTTTCAATCTCCCCGAATAATTTCTCTTTTTCTCTCGCTTTTTCTGGCTCAGTTCAAGATTTGAATTTACAATTGTTGTTTTCTCTTTAATTTTGTAATAGCATAAAATATGCTATTGTTGGATGAATTTAGGTCTGATCCAACTTTCTAGTTCTGTCTCGATCTCACCCCGTGAGATTCATTTTTTTAACCACATACATAAATTTTGAGAAAAAAAAAGAGATAATTAAATCAAAGATAATTCAAAGAGTTACAAGTAATAGTTACACACACTTTCACTCCACAAAAAATATAAATATTTTCCACGAAGAACAAAATGCCAATTCATTATTCGAAATTATTTTATCGAAACCAATACAACCAATACCTCAAAATACAACCACAAGCATATAAATAAAAACCCCCCGCAAGGGACAAAATCAGCCCTTATTCGAAGAACACTCAAAACAAAAGCCACACAACACCCTTAAAACCAAAATACACATCAAACGCATAATAGATATAACATTTTCCATAATATAATATATATATATTATATTTTTTATAGCATATAAATATATATTTTTTTGTTGTTGTTTAATTAGTTGTATTCGGCGGGGTTGGCCAAGAGGTAGTTCTCGGCGGCCTTGAGAAGGGCCAATCCTTTTTGCTCGCCGGCCTTGAGTCGCTCCTCGTCCATCTGGTGATCTCCTTTGGTGTGGTAAATGCTGACGCTCTTCACAACGGATCCGCCGTCCGCTCCTGCCGTCACCGTTAACTCCTTCGAAATTTGGTCAACGTAGTCCGATAACAGCTCCCCTTCCAGCACCGTGTATTTGAACGTCAACGACGCTTCGTCCACCACGTCGATTCTGTGCTTTATGCTTTTCACTTGCCCGCCTGAATCAATCTCAAACATATATTTTTATTTTTATTTTAAATATCTCTCAATTTTATTTTAATTATTTTTGTTATTTCTTTATAAATTATTTAATATAACCCTAACATAAGTAGGGGCGTAACTACGAAATTTTTACAGAGAGACAGATCAATTTTACATTGTAGCTGGTTACATTTTTTTTTTTTTTTGGACAAAAGCTGGTTACATATTTATATATGATATTTCAATTTTAAAAATTTAGAAGGAGAAGAAAAAAAAAGAGAGTTATAAAGTATTTTTTAAAAAGTCCAAGACGAATTAGAGGAGTGGGTAACTTTTTCTCCCACATTTATTTATAATAGGATTTCTATCCTATATGGACAAGGTTTTGAATTATTTTTTTTTCTTTTAGTGTAAAGATTAGACGCAAATATTTTTTAATTCTCTTGTTAAATGTAAAATATTAATATGACAATGACGACTAAAATAGATTTCTAACTAAAATGGGAAATTAAAGCAAAATTTTTAAAAATTAAAGGAGGAAAATGAAATTTGTATGAATAACGAGAGCCAAATAATTCTATTTGATCAATATCTTAATAAGCTCCAACGAAAATGATAAACCAATTTTACTAATATGCCATATAATAATTTGAAACAACATTTTAAAATACAGTACTTGTTTATTTGTTTATTATTATTATTATTATTATTATTTTGGAAGTCAACAAAGCTAGGTTTATAGTATGAACAGAGCTTGATGGAAAAAAAAAAAACAAGAAATTATAAAAAAAATCAAGGAAATGATATTTATCAAAGAACCTATATTATTGAGAATGATGCTAATTTGACATTACCGTGACTGAAGGAGATCTTTTTGACAGATCCAGGCCCTCCATCTCCTTCGATAACTTCGGTCTGCGGCTGATTTGGCACAATCTTGGAGTAAAGTCGGTCGGCGTCAAGAATAAATGCCTTGAAGAACTTGGCTGGAGGGACGCTGGTGGCTACTTCGTTTTCGTAAGTGAAAACACCCATTGCCTATATGACAGCCTTGTGAGTTTAGCAAAAGAAAAATTTAGACAACTATTGACTAAACAGAAAGGCCTTGATGTGATGAAGGCTCGAGGAAATGCTCTATTTATAGTTGGGAGATCATGAAGCTTACGAATAAATAGGAAGATTTTAATATATTTTAAACATTCAAAGTTTGATCAAGTTTTTTAAAGTCAAGATGATATGGAGGAATGCTTTTAATTATTTTTCATTCTTTATATCACCCATACATTTATTTTCAACCAAGTTAGTGTATTAAGTATTAAATAAATCTTTGATTGATTTGACAAGAAGTGGTAGAGAAATGGTAAAAAGAAAAAATTGGGCAATTAGACAAAACAAGATAGCAAGTGCAACGTACATATATATATATTCTATTCTATGATAATTTAATTTATTCAAACGTGAAATTATGCTATAGTTATGTCATAGTTATATAATAATAGACCTGTCACATCATTTCAAACTTATAATTATAAATTTAAAAGTTTATCGAATTATCGAGATAAAATAGATGAAAACATAAAAGTATATGGACTCTTGTAATTTATACTTATACTAGATATGTATTTTTGTTAATATAGCTTATGATTAATTAGATTGATATTTCACTAAAAATTATAAAAAGATTAGAATAAGCTAGTGACAAAGAAGTTGGCCAGTCTAAAGTCTAGAAATTTGAGTTGTTGACTGCAATTTTTTGTGATAAATAAATGAAAGTATTCAATAATTTAATCCAACATGCATGACACGAGAAAATATAAATACCTATGGTCTATATAATATTTTCTGAAAAAATTAATTTTATCAATTTACAAGATTTGAATATTGTCATTTTCTGATATAACAGACAATAACCATTAAGAAAAATAAATTTTGGAATTGAAAAAAAAAATTGGTTCTATTCATTAAATTTTGTTTTTAAAACTACTTGCGGACCACTTTTTTATTTAACTTTTTTAGTTTAATTAGTAAACTGTTGAAAATATATATTTTTCATTTCCATTTAATTTATATATATTAACTTAAGAATAATATATGTTTAGATTAATTTGTTCTAAAAGAAAGGTTGACTAAACTTCGAAAAATAATGTTCTGTGCCGATGTATGGTTTTTTCCCTCTAGAAATTCATCTCATAAATAAATTTAATAGATATATATTACATCATATCATATGACTCTTTCTTCTTGATCTATTAATTATGTATTTATTTAATGCTTATTGGTTTGAATACAAGAATACGTCCTTCGCAGGCTACCAATATTTATTAACTTCTAGAAGCATCAAGGAGGAATAAAAACATTTCTTTATGGGAAAAAAAGTGATTACAAAAATAAAATTATTTGAGCTGTGACAAATTCTCAAAATAATATTTAATAGACATAATGATTTCTCTTACAAAATATTAAAAATTTATTGTTTCGAACAATAATATTAATTATTAAGGAGCAGAACGTAGTAATATTTAGACTTACAAACATTCTCACTTTAATTCGTTTACTTATTATTTTGATATTAAGAGTGCGTAAGATTGTTTAAAAAAAAACAGAGAGAGAATGCCTTAAGATGATAATAATGTAGCAATTATTGACAACTAAATCTACATAATAAATTTCGAAAAAATTACAAACATAAACACACCTCAGCAGTAATTAACATATAGTTTATTTCTTAATAGTTAAAATATTAGTTTGGTCCTCCGTATTTTTAGTTTTATATAACTATTTTTGGTCTTTTTACTCTCAAAATATTCGTTTTTGTTATGTATTTTTTAACTTTGGTTCATTTTAGATTTTAATCCTTGTACTTTTAAATAGTATTTATTTTGGTCCACCAGTAGACATTTTGGTTCTTGTGACATTTAAATAATGCAACGGAATCTTTTTGTGACGTTTTTCACTACGTCACTTATACTCCAATTGTAGAATTCGTGACGGTTTAAAAACACCGTGAAAAATGGAGATTTTCATGACAGTTTTTAACCATCATGAAAACTTGATTTCGTGAGTACGTTTACAAAACGTCGCGACAAAAAAGATAACGTGACGGATTTAGATTTTGTGACGGTTACAAAACGTCACGAAAACAAATTTTATAGGTAAAAAACGTCACGGAAGATATATTCGTGACGTTTTTTAAACGTCACAAAAAAATTCGTGCCATCACATGTACAAGCTTAGGCACAATTTACCTATCAGAATTGACACCGACTGAACCAATCGCCCAACTTGTTGGAAAACCGACAATGTTATTTATTTATCTTTTAATTCCGTTTTTTAATTTATTTCCATATTTTTCATTATTTCTATTCAATTTCTCTTCTATATACTGTTTTCCATTATTGTTTACATTCAAGTTCAAATTCTTGTTCATGGTGAAGGGTGAGGGTCGGGTTTCAAACCTTATGTTTAAAAACATAAAAGTCACACTTAAAAAAGATAATATGCATATTATTGTCGATCGGAATTTGGGATGCATGACAACTGACTGACCGACTGTCAGTCCTGATTTTTAAGAACCAACCGACCAAGTGTTGGGAAAATTTAATTACCAATAATATTTTCAGTGAAACTAAGTCGCACACAATAATAAGAAAATAGAGAAAAGCACAAAAACGAGGCAAGCAATGTATACTGGTTCACCCCAACTATGGACTACGTCCAGTCATCCACGACAACGGGTTCTACTATGATATTGAGATAAAAACAATGGATCTCCAAAAACGCTCTATAAAGCTCTCTCTAAATGCCACAACAATGACCACCTAACTTCTAAGCACACTATGGTCATAACTACTTAGGAATATATAATGAAAAACCTCACTAACCTCATGGTCATAACTATTTAGGAATATATAATGAAAAACCTCACTAACCTCATGGTCATAACTATTTAGGAATATATAATGAAAAACCTCACTAACAAAACGGATTCTTGTCTTTATTTGACTCCAAGAATGGATTGGATCGAAACGACTTTCCTGTCGAACCCCTTTGTGTCTGTATAAATTTCTGACCGCGCGGAATCTCMATAGCCAATTTTCCATTTTTGATTATGAAATCATAGGGTGCCTTTGGTACGACTCTTATTTCACACGATCCAGGAACTTCCATAACGTTGGCGTGATTCAGTTTGAGCAACGGATCCTGACGTGATACATCTTCGTAATGAAAATCGAGTGAAAACATCGACAACAGACTACAAACCAAGATCCTGATTTTGTCCTTCTTCTCTGCCAACCAACCGCCACTGCCCTTCTTTATTTGTCAATTTCGGTCGTCCACCCAATTTGTGCAACATTCCATGGCTAAAAACTAAAAAGAAAGCTTGGTAAACTTAATGGAGAGGTTTTATGTTTGGGCTTTTGTTTAAGTTTCTTGACCCAATAAGCTTCCCTTTTTATTCATTCCAATTTTTCATTGTTTGGCTCCAATCCCAACACTAAGGAACCGACCAACCGACATCGATTCAATTGAAAGTCTCTTTGCTCACTCTTAATCACAGGTTCATCACAATTTTTCAGTATTTCAGGCTTCAAAGTTAATTTATTAGGATAATCATATTAGGGGGGTAAGCAAGTTGGTTTGGATCTCTTTCACCCTCAAACCAAATTCATCGAAACTGACAAATATCAAAACCGAACCAACCAACAAAAAATGATGCTTCAAACCGAATTAAGGACTCAGTTTCATTGGTTTTTTTTTTCGGTTTTTCATTGCCAGATATTAGGTTTTTCAGTTGTTTGTTAACACATTTTTTTTTTTTTTTAAATTTTGAAGTTACAGTGGTAAGAATATAGTTCAAGATTTCATGGAAAATCCTCGGACTCTATAGTGTATGTGAGATTGCAAAAGTAGAACTGCAGTCCTTGATAGACGAAGGCACAATCCAAATCCCAGGCAGGCAAATAAGAACCAAATATAAATAAAATCTCCATAAAACGTGCACATCCCAGAGGTATTGTTGTCTGTTTAATTGCTGTCTGTGGAATCGGGTTCAACTTCTGAAGTAGAAATGTACCATAAAAAAGTAGAGCCTGTTTTTTCAAAAATGATTATATGTTTTAAAGCTGTCAAACGGTTTGTCTTTTGCTTTGAACTTCTTCTATGCATGCATTATATATATAAGTTATAGATTTTTTGTCCAATTCTTTGAAAATTGTGCCCTTTACAATAATCCATTATAGAGATTAGGTTAGGTAACATACCCAGCATATCAAATCATGAGATCGTCATAATTGGTGGCTTTCAATGCATCTTTAAGATTTGAAATTTGGATGTCCCTTAGTAACCATGAGATATTGAAATGAAAATTAACTATTTCTTTTTTTAATTGAATGCAACTAACTTTATCAATTTTATCATTCGCTCCCACTTTATGTATATATTTAAAGTACAACACGTAGAGATGGGGATCGAACTCACACTACAACAGATTCATACTTTTTTGACACAAGTTTTTCTAACGCTTTTCATTTCGTCGGGATTATAAACCTTACTCAACGAAAATAACGATGTTGGAAAAACAACCTATCTAGACGAAAACGAATTTTGTCGAGTGCAAATATTTCCAACGAAACATTAGTTTTGTCAGGTAAATAACCAAGCTCGACGAAAAAAAATTTCGCGGAGTCTAAATATTCCCAACAAAACTATTTTTAATGACCCTAGCCCAAAAAGTTCCCAACAAAAGAATCACAACTTATTGGTTTGAGATAATTCGCTCAGTTATGCTTAGTGCTCCCACCTTATTTAATGGTGAGTTATTCTTATTTTTTGAGCTTAATTAAGTTGGATTATTAAGTGTTTTTTTTTACCGAGATGATGTGTTCTTTTAAACTTAGTTGATTGTTAATATTGTGATACAGGCAGCGGACCCCAATCTCGGTATCTCTTGAAACGTCAAGTGTATGAAAATAATTGTACTAAAAAAAAGTATAAAAAGAATTATGCAGGTAAATAGGGTGGTTAGACTCGAAAATAATTTATGAACAGCACGAATGGCCTGCCATCCACCAACCAATACTTAATGTTATTTTAATAAGCACTTACATAGGAATTTTTCTATTAAAAACTACTGCCGTATATTATTGCTTTAAATAATATTTTGGTTGACTGTCCTAACACATTTTTGTTTCAATATTTTAATTTTTAAATACTATATTTAAAAACCGACCATTCTTGTTTCTTCATTTTTATTTTTATTTCAATCAAAATTTTATCATGAAATTGACTTGTTATAATTTTTAAATGTAGCCATAATTTGTATTAAAGGGTTTCCATTGTATATAAAATTTGTGTTAAAAATTTTACAACGTTTTAAAAATACGATGACTAAAATAAATGGAAGTTAAAATTACAAAAACAAAAATGGATATGACCAAAATAATATTTAAACCGCTACATTATTTAGTGATGTCAAATAGTAAATGGTCAAAATTTTCCTATCATGAGATAATTTCCATCATAGGAAATATGATTCCTAGTATACAAAAATACTTGCTCCTTTTCTTCATACTACATTTTTTTCTTTATAAGTAATTTTTTAATATTGATGGATCTCAAATCATTTGATTTTTAGTAGAACGAGTATCAATACTTCAATAATACTAAAAGAATTTTTATATTACAACAATTAATTGAATAGGTGGTCCTATGCTTATATAGGCTTTGAACCCTACTAAAATTTAATAAACAATTTAATATAAGGTTTAGAGAGATAAAAACAAAATCAGAAGCATCTAAAAATTATTTTTAAAACTTAAATAAGACCTTTAAACATACAAAATACAGTGTTTCTTTATCAAATATGAGAAAAACTATTAGAATACGATAATTGTCTTCTTATTGCCAATAATAGAGCCCTTTTGAAAAAAAGAAAAAACTTTAAGTTATATACGTTCTAATAAAATAAATAAAATTATTTATGTATATTATTTAAATTTCATTAAAAAAATGCAATTCAATTTAAAATAAAAGAATTTTTGTTAGGCTCCTATCATTGTAGATTAGATTGCCTCATTTATCGGTGGGATGAAAAATGGTTGACAAGCAGGAATTTGAGACGACAAAAAACGCAAATTAACAATTAATGAGAAAAAAAAAAGTAAAATTCTTTCAACAATTTTTAAATATTTCCACTCAATTCGAATTCGTTTCGTTATATTAAAATTATAAAATCTAAAATTATCCATAACGCGTAGCAGATTTAGAACTGGCAATGTTTTCAAGTGGGCCCACGCGTGTTCTCCTTTGTGGATGGAATGTGGGCCCATGACTCAACACTATTTGGGCCCACGTCGACGACCACCGGTCCAATTATATACGCACATTGAGATTTGTCCTTATCTTCTGTCCACCTTCGATACTTCAATTAATTTGTTAAATATTATGATCTCTTTAATTTGTGAAACATTCCTTTTCCCTTGGTTATAAGAAATTAAAACTCGTAAATTTAGAGACCGACTTCCAAAATTCACGAGGGTCGCTTGTTCGGCTTACGTTATTTTACATCTTTTTTAGAATGTTGTTTATGTTTGTGCCACGCTTTCGATTGTATTCACGTTTGGCATAGGCTTGTTCTGAACGAGATTTTTTTAGATAATTCTGTATTATAATTCGGCGAAGAAACTTTAGGTCATCCTTGGGATAATGCACCTGGTGTCGTAGCTAATCAAGTAGCTTTTGAAGCATGTGTACAAGCTCATAACGAGGGACGTCATCTTGCTCTTGAGGGTAATGAAATTATTTGTGAGGCTGGTAAATGGAATCCTGAACTATAACCCTATATCTTCAAACAGACGCTCTCCATGCTCTCTTCTGCCGTGAGCTTTACTGTTGCATGCTCCACACGATTGCAGCTACAATGGCAATGAGTAAAACTCACATAGCTTAGATTATTCGCTATGACAATAATTTCGTGAATAATTAGCGCTAACTGAGAAATTTATTGGAGTATGCTTGAGAGTCGTTTTTTTAATTGAGTTGTCATTTTTGTCTAGCTATACTGTTTGTGTTTGTATCTTTATATTGTCTGTGTTCCGACTATTTTTTTAGTGTATGTTTCATTTGTTAATGTTGTATCTTAATTTGAGATTACGAGATCCATATTCATTTGTAACAAAAAAAATATAAAAGATAAAAAATCTCGTAAATTTTAGTATATTTATTATTTTCACTGAATAATGCATTTATTACTCTCCAATATGGCTGTATTTGTCAAATTACAAAATAGAAATAAAACTTCATTTGTTTTATTATATTTGTATAGTTTTCTATTAACTAAATACAATTTCGAGATATTATTTAATTTGTTTCTTTTAAACATCATAATATGTGAGATGAGGGTTCGTAGGCATAAATTTTTAGCCGATTATACATTAGGCTTGGATTAATAATAAAAGTATAAATTTAACTATTTCTTAAACTTGGCCATACTTGAATCAACCAAATAGATCACACAAAAAAAAAAAGAAATTTAGCAGTATTATTTCTAAAAACTGGAAAATCAAAAAACAAAAGTTCAATCTCCAATATTTAGCACGAAAATCTCATATTTAAACATTTAACGAAAAAATAGTAATCCAAATAGCTAATATTTACAGTATCCTTGGGTTTGACTTAATAGTCAAACTACTTATTTTTCCGCTTTTAATTTGTTTCGGCATTCGTTACCCAAACACCGAGCATACTTGACAATGACGAAACTACCCTTATTATCGACGCAGACGCCAAGTAAAGAAGATTATCTCTGTTTTTCCTCCAAACAAACGCAATATTCTCTCCAGATTTTAGGAATCATATCCGCCTTCCTGAATTTCTTCATTTTTTTTCCCTCCTTTATTTTTCCATTCATCGGAACCTAGTTCGATTCTCTGATCAGTTTTCCCCCAAACTCACATTCGATCGGATCAGTTTTGCGGTTGTTTGGAGTGATATATTTTCCAGAAATCATCGTACTGCGAGTTTGATGGTTTTTTCTTGAGGTTTCGATCTCCAAAATTCAATACCATGGCGGCGGGGGCAATGGCAACCTACGCGGGAGCCGCCTTGATTATTTACTATCTGCTGAGCCGGAGATTAGCATCGAAAGGCAACGACGATGATCGGAGTGGTAATATGTCCAAATCGATTAGATCGGTTAGGAGAAGGATCTCTCGGCGGCCGGCTCAAGCGCCGGCGACGTGGTTTGAGACGATTACTACTCTATCAGAGACTCTTAGGTTTACGTACGCCGAAACCTTGGGGAAATGGCCGATCGGAGATTTGGCATTCGGAATTAATTACTTGATGCGGAGGCAGGTGCGCTCCTTTTGCTTTATGATTTTTTGTTCGTTCGATTTCTCAGCCACTCACGATCTTTCACCGTTCGACATGCATTCGCCTGTGGCTGTTTTTTTGTTTTTTGTTTTTGTTTTTGTTTTCTTTCCTTCCGTTCCTGTTCGTATCGAGAGTGTAGTTTAGAGATTTTATTTCTTGAACGTGCGCATAGGACGTTGTCTTTGATTTACGAGTCTTGATATGTCGTAATTTGTTACTGTTTTAGAATTTTTGGTGCTTTTTTGCGAATGCTTGTTTTCCTTTTACAGAACTCGAAAGAGAATTTAGTCCTAAGGTCATTTATATTTTTTAATTTGGATCGGCGGTATTACTCTGCCATCCTTGTTCCACGTACATTCGCTTGTGGTCATTGTCTTTGGTTTTCCTCATTCCTATTCGTATCAAGAGTGTGAATCACAAAATTCCTGTTGTCGGTTTACAACATCCATTTCTTGAATGTGGATGAGGAAATTGTTTTTGATTTGAGATACTTGATATGTCGTAATTTATCGTTACTGTTTTAGATTTTTCTGTGCTTTTAGTTTGTGAATGCTTGTCATGTCCTTGTACCGGAACTCAAAAGTGAATTCAGTTTTGAGGTTATGTATTTTACATATTTCGGACTTAGCGATGTTACTCTGACTTGACTTACGATCTTTCAATGTTTGAGTGCATTCGCTTGTGGTTGTCGTTTTTGGTTTTCTATGCTCATGTGCGTGTCAAGAATTTGAACTACACAAAATTCCTGTGGTTGTTTAAGAGCCTCCGCCTCTCGAATGTGGATACAGGACGGTTTTTATATTTGAGAGTCATGATATGTCGTGATTAATTGTTACTGTTTTAGGTTTTTGTTGGATTTTCTGCAATTCGGATTTACTGACATTACTCTTCTTGCAGGGTAACTTACAAGTTGCTAACGTGTATGCGGGCAACGATAGTGTGCAACTTAAAGGCCCTGAAATTATCGCGGAGTTGAGTAGTTTTTTGCGGTTGCTCACCTTCTGCATGCTTTTCTCCAAGAAGCCGTTTCCAATCTTTTTAGAATCAGCCGGTTATTCTCTGGAGGACGTGCTTATTCAGAAACCAAAAGCAGGGGTATTTCACCTTTTAGAACTTGTTTAAATTTTTACCATGATTTAGATCCATTTCAATTGTGCTCTCCTTGGGATTTATGTTTCACGGAAAGCTTGATTGTCGTTCTTAGTTATCCTCCTCAATAGGCTTAATCACTGTCTATTATCTCTTCTTAGCAATTCTAAAACAATGAAGTGCCTCTTTACGTCGATTGGATAGCATTATCGATATTTTCGAAGAAAAATTGCATTATCAACGACATTGTAATAAAATCAGTCAGGAAAAAAAAAATGGCCCTAGTAGTTGAAGACTTGCTAATTCCACAATAATCTAAACATATGAATGTCCCCTAGATTTTATGCTTGCCTTTACTCGCAATATTTGAATATCTTCTTTTATCATCGTGTGAGTCTTTTTTTTCTCTCTTTTTTTAATCCTAACCTTTATTGTTTCCGGTGATTAGAATTCTTCATCTGGGTTGAGTTTTTGACCGTCATATTTGATTACTTCCTTTGTTAATTGCAGATTTTGAAACCTGCTTTTACAATTATTCGTGATAGTAATTCAAAATGCTTCCTTCTTCTGATTCGGGGCACTCATAGTATCAAAGATACATTAACAGCAGTAACTGGTGCAGTGGTTCCTTTTCATCATTCAGTTTTACATGATGGTGGGATAAGTAATTTAGTTTTAGGATACGCACACTTTGGGATGGTTGCTGCAGCCCGTTGGATCGCGAAGCTAAGCACTCCTTTCTTACTCAAAGCTCTCGATGATTTTCCAGACTACAAAATCAAGGTATGTTATGTTTTTTTAATTTATTTTTCTTAGTGATTGGAAGGCCTTGCTTTTGTTTGCTTTTTGCTTTTGTCTGAATATATTCATCGTTTCTTATAAAGAAAAAAGTATAACTTGAATTAATTATTATTTTTTTCTCACGCTGTCTTGTTTCCTTCTATTAACCTGACCCTCCTGTCTGATGAAAAACTTCTGTTTCGCCTACTATATACTTCACATCATAATCATGTTTTAATTAATAAATTGTTTTTTCTTAGATGTTTCCGAGATCTCTCCTTCTATTAACTGAACTGTATTGGCTGAAGAAAAACTTCTGTTTTGCCTACTATACTTCATCATAATCATGTCTTAATCAATAAATTAATCTATCTGTACATATGTAAGCTGAATTAATTTATTATTTTTCCTCACTGTTCTTGTTTCATTCTAGTAACCTGACTCTGCTGGCTGATGATAAACTTCTGTTTTACCTACTACCTACTTCATCATAATCAATAAATTAATTGTTCGAGATGCATGAGTCTCACAAGATAGGAAAGCTTTGTTTCCTTCTGTAATCACGTTTAGTTCGACAAATTGTTCGAGATGCATGCTGTTATTCTTTGTGGCTTTTATTAGCTGTTAGATCTTTTAGTTTTGTGAAGCTTTTAATTATATATTTGACGAAAATTGGCATGTGGAGTTGATGGATATTGTGAATGACAGAAGGGATATTCATTTCTTGAAAATTAGGCACGATATTCTGTTATCATGGGATTTATCATATTAATATTTTGAACTTTTAGATAAGTGATGTTGTTTCCTATGTTATTCACCGCTAAGTCGCTGTACTGATCTGCTTCAATATATATCCAAAATCTCCTACTTAATACAAAAATCACCCTCCTTATGGGCCCACCACGTGGGGAAAGAAATCTTGGAAGAAAAATGTTGAAGCCACGAACATAATCAAACGAACTTGAAATACACTTCAATTCCACTGCTTTAACTTTGGCTAGCATCAAGGCTTTCCCTAACACCCCACCCCCATCCACCCTAGTTGGTCTTCGCCCATCATGAAAGATAAATTCATCTCGCTTGATCATCTTGGGTTGACCGTCATTAAAATTTTTACAGATAGAAAAGTGAAAGATAGAAAATAGATTTTTTTTTTTCTAATTTTTTTTGGGATGACCTAGTTGTCAATAAAGGTCAATGTAAATAGTAAAAGACTTAGAGGGAATGTGTTCAAACATGGTGGCCACCTACTTTGGATTTAACATCCTACGAGTTTCTTTGTCAACCAAAATGTAGTAGGATCAAGCCAACGACTCGTGATTAGTCAAGGTGCGTGCAAGTTGGTCGGACACACAGATATATAGTAAGATGGGTGCAGATCAATCATGCTTTTAAGTACCTAAGTATTTTTAGTTTATGATGAGACCTTACATCCCGAGTTAGCTTGGTCAAAAGTGAAGCAAAAGATCAAGAACAATTTTTTGAACTGTTTTTCTGCTTGAAAAGAATGTTTGAATATGTATCTATTTTCCCCGGAAGCACATTTCTAATGCTTAGATTTTGATACCCAGATTGTTGGGCATTCTCTTGGTGGTGGAACCGCTGCTTTATTGACATATATTCTTCGAGAACAGAAGGAGTTCTCTTCTAGTACTTGCATCACATTTGCCCCAGGTTTGTGAATGAAAACTTCCGTTCTTTCCTTTCAAAAGATGGGCTGATTTACTGAGAAAAAAGCATGCATTCATTTCATCCATGTTTTTTCTTTAGTCATCCGAAAGTTTTCCGTTTAAAAGATGGACCGATTGACCATTTCTTAAGGAAAAAAAGAAAGAAAGACTTTTATAAAAGATAAAAATGCTATGGATTAGCAATCATGCTTGATTACATTTCATTTGCTGCATCTTCGGCTTAAGATTTGAATGGAGTTCTGATTCAGTGCGGTCGTTAACACCTTAGTTGGTTCTGAGACATGATAATTATAATAAATCAGAATAAATCGAGTTCTATTAGTTTGGATCTTATCTTCAATGATTCGTATCTTATCGCCATTTTCCTCTGTTTTCTGACGTGTATTACCATTACAACTTTATGTTCTGTTTGTGTAGCTGCGTGTATGACATGGGAGTTGGCAGAATCAGGTAAGCAGTTCATCACTACAATTATTAATGGTTCAGATCTGGTGCCCAGCTTCTCAGCTGCTTCTATAGATGACCTGCGATATGAGGTAATTAACCCATCACTGAATGGCACAGTGAAATAATATATACTTTTATATTTTTATAAAAATAACATTGTGTGATTTTTCAAATACATATATACATTTTCTTAAAAAGAAATTTTTTTTAAACAAAAAGGAAAATAAATTACTTTTATGTATTTATGGAAGTAACATTTCAAATACATATATAACAGGCAACTTGTAAGGTCCCGTTTACGGTTTTTTTTTTTTTTGCCTTTGAATTATTGATTTTGAGAAATTAAAGTTTTGTTAAATAATTATTTATTTTTGGTTTATACAATAATTTCAACATTATGATCTTATTTCAAGAACTTTTCTATTCTCTCTCTAAAATCTCCCTCAGAGAGAACTCTCAAAACTCTCTCATACTTAAGTGTCAAGGACTGTAAGCTTTTAATTTTGTGATTTTTTAGTAACCTATTTAATACAAAAACACAAAATTCTCAAATTATCAGACATAGAATATTAAAAGTTTTTTTTAACTTTTTAATTTTATGTTTAGTACATGTATAAATTTTAAAATGTTTAGGAATACACAAAATTAATGACAATTAAAAGTTTAAATAATTTGTATTTTAACATACTCTCAAAATTTCCTTCTATCTGTTTTCTATTCAAATTCTCTCTCTTAAAAGGGCTCCTCTTAACTCTCCTTTTTAAGTGCCCTTTTACTTTTTCCTCTAAACTTTTACCTTCACCCTTCTCTCTCTTGCCAACTTTTTTTTTTTATTTTTTTATTTTCAATCTATAGTTTGTTTCTTTCTAACTTTTATACGTCTTATCTAAAGTGACACGTATAATTTTATAGTCGGTTTCTACTTTTAAATTTTATTATTATTCCCAAATATGCATTTCAATCCCATATGAAGATCCTTACGATTGATGGGTATAATTAATTAGGTGACAGCATCATCGTGGCTGAATGATTTACGAGATCAGGTAGAGCGTACCAGGGTCCTCAACGTTGTTTATCGCTCTGCAAGCGCTCTCGGCTCACGCCTTCCATCTATGGCTACTGCCAAAGCTAAGGTCGCCGGTGCAGGCGCCCTTCTCCGCCCAGTCTCTAGCAGCACACAGGTTCCTTCCTTTCCTTAACTTTTTTCTATTTCTAGTTCGTTCACTCTTTAATTCTCGATTTCGCATTTGATTTTTAGGATGTCGTGAAACGTGCGGTTGTGCGAACTCGCTCCTCTCTGTCTTCCTGGTCTTGCATTGGCGCCCGCAGACGAATATCCAATCCCACCGAGGAGTTGCCCGAAGCTCCTCTCATAGCTGAAGAAGTTACTATTAATGCAACTGAAAAGAAGAAGCTACGCTCTGGTTCTTCAAGTGATGATAGTTCAGATCATGACACAGACGAGGAACGGCACCTTATTCATGAAGAAAGAATCGTTACCTCAACCGACGTCGAAGACATTACGGATGGTGAGTTGTGGTATGAACTGGAGAAGGAACTTCAGCGGCAAGAGAAAAAAGTCGATGTTATTACCCGAGAAGTTGGTGCCGCTGCAGCAAAAGAAATCGAAGAAGAAGAAGAAGAAGAGAGATTGCTTACAGATGCTGAGGGAAGCAGTGAGAAGCCATTGTCTTCTCTGGATGCTTCGGAAAACATACGTTTCTATCCTCCCGGCAGAACCATGCATATTGTTTCAGTGCTCTCGCCGGATTCTGATAATTTAGCTCACGCTGAGGAGATTGTGCAGGAAAAAGTTGGTATATATGAGACGCCTAGAGAATTGTACAGTAAGCTGCGTCTCTCTAGAACAATGATTAATGATCATTATATGCCCATGTACAAAAAGATGATGGAATTGTTGATCAAGGAACTTGAAGAAGATGTATCAAGTAGTTACGAATTGTAAATAATTTCATATGCTATCATATCATATACCTAAAATGCGAAATCCCCTTGTGAAATGTTCTGTATTTAAAGCCCATAAGATTAACGTGTTTTCAAGTATTCGATTATAAACGAAAGCAACACCAATTCTATAATTCTTTTATACCCGTGTCCAACATATTTTTTAGGATTAAATTACTTTATTTAGGAGTAATAATAATGATTTTGTTTTTTGTTTTTTGTTCTTAAAAATTGACCCTGTTTTTGTACATATTAAGTTCCATCTCTCGAAACACATTTGAATTCTTGGTAAAAGTTATCACATATGCCTTAAACTTTTAAAAACTTGATTTTAGTCCTTGAATTTTGTTTACTTCCAATTGGATCCTCTAGCATTCAGTCCATCAAATTTGGAAGTTGCCCTTAGAACGTTAATCACCTCGTTAAATTTTATTTTAAAAATAATTTTACGTAGTTAACCTTTAGTCATTTAAAGATACAATAAACTAAAAATCATTTTACAAACATTAGTTTCTTTCTTTCATTTTTTTTTTTTTTTCAAAACCAATATCTGAAACTAATTTTGGACACAAGTTCTTTTATTTAGTAAAAATTGTTTCGCAAAACCTTTTTCTTTTGAAAAGGAAAAAAAAAAAAAAAAATCTGTTCCCCACTGCGCGTAATATATAGTACATAGCATTTAGAATTTTACCTTGTTAGTTGTCCAAATCAACTGGGTAATGTCATTCAATCTCCATGCCAGAAGACTCATCCAATCCCCGCTGATATCTGGAATAAAACATCACTTTGAAGATGGTTTTTTCGAGCCACGATGATCAAAAACGACTTGAAAATTATGTCCTAATTTCCAGCAGCATGAAGTAGGTAACACCGTAGAAGTCATATTAGATTCAAACCAGAAACCAAACCGTGATGATCAATTTGCTATATAATTAAACCAACTATTCCTGAAAACCGAACCGGTTGGTTTTGGGCTTATTAGGCCCAAGTCTCTAAAACACCCATTACCAAATTAAGCATTCGAATTCTAAAAGTAATTTGGTTTTCTTTTCTTCCATTTTTTGAAATTATGTCTCGATAACATGGTCATGCTAAATTAAAGGAGTATTTAAATTTTAAAATAAAAATTATAGAAAAATTTCAGTTCGATTTGGCTTACAATAACATAAACCAAACTAAACCAAGAAAAAAATTAGAACTGAATATAGCATAAAAATAGAACCAAGCCAATCGGCTTGGTTCAATTTTCTGGTTTTCTAAGCTTCATGTACACCCCTACTCTCTAAAACAGATGTGTTTGACTAAAGAAAAGAAACATTCTGAATTCGGCAAGGTTCTTGGCTTGGACCATAGCAAAAATAAAAGTCTTAAGCTTAATATCAAGGAACAATCATGGATTCATAAAAGTTCTTAGCTTGATAGCCAAGATACAAATTATTTCTTACAAGGGAAACATAAAAATAAAATGTTGAGATTGTACCTCTCAGTCTTTCAAGGATCCATAAGCCTTCTCTGCAATTTCTTAGTTCTGTAATATCAACCGCCATATCTGAACTTGAGAGATTCTGGAGGCTCCTCTTCCATAATGCCTGAACCATTAGCGGCCAAATAGTCACGAATAGTTGTACTACGATCTCCAAGGAAAGTGTGATCCAAAAAATTGTTATAAGCTTCGTCGCCCAGGTTCTTTGCAGCTAAAACACTAGGAAAATATCATTATCTTCAGTTCAGGTGGAGAAGTTGACATGGACAAATTATGAACAGAGTTAATTAACAGATGATAATGATATGTCCCAATTTCTCTATCAGAACAAAAATGTCATCGATCAGACCAAAGAATTATAAGAGGATAAGTAAAATAGAAACCAATTACGGAAAGAAAAATCCAAATACTACACAAATTAGCAAAAGATACTATTTACTGATCTTTTTCCCAACTTGGGAAGTAAACTCATACTTGTCTAATTTATTTCTAACAAGCTACATCCTTGATCCATGGAGAGTACACAATCACTACCAACAACAACAAGGTTCCAAATTAAAAAAAATGAACGTTTCATGCTTGATATAAACCTATAATTTCTGTTTTCACTATTCTAGCATCTACATATTCGTTAAAAAGATCTAAAACCCATTTATAATAGAACACGGCAGGATAACTTAGTAAGTGCACTTATAAGAGATGGTTACGGTTAACAGCATAGCTTTTCAGTATATCTGGAGCAGCATATGCTAAACCAAAATGATTTTGTACATATACAGTATCATCATAATGAACATAAGAATGTGATGATGATCTCAACTTTTACAGATATACAGCATCGCAATGGACTTTGGACAAAATTAAACGTCGTCTTATTCCTAGGTTTCATGTGGACTCCTGCTGCCATTCCAGGGAAATATTTGCTTAGGAACACAAAAGGTACACTGAGAACATACTAACCAGTGTCGAAGATAGACGCGACAGGGTAAGATATCATCTCTCCAGATCTTATCAATATTATGACGACCATAATGTTGAAAATAAATGTCCTTATTTCCTGATATCAATAGAAATAGCTAGCATTTAGCAGAAATTCTAATGTTAGAGTAGCATTTTCTTTTGTCTCGATTACGAGGTTTTCCACTAAATGAATTCCATAATCCTTCATGTGTATTTTGGCATAACCACAACAGCAGAATAGTTTTGAAGTTTACCTTTGCATCTCACTTGAAAGAATTCCTCATCAGTGGATCGAGAACAAAGCACCTGCGATGTACCTTTAAAATATCAATCAACCAATAAATATGTTTGCGTGCAATTTTGACATGTAAATAACAGCGACCTAACTCCTTAGAGACTCAGCGATGCGAATAACTATATAATACATTTTGAGTCATCACATACCGCTGGTTTATCATATAGCATTCCGTCTAATCTTTCGGGAAGAACCTACGACAAAAACATATTTCTCAAATAGTCATTTGGAATTGAAAGAGTTCATGAGAAATAAAATGACGGATCGGAATGAAATACTCACAGCTAAAAATCGAAACTCAATCTCTCTGTGTATAAAAGCTGGAATCTGAACATTTTAGGCATCATAAGTGAGGTTTAGAAATTATTCCTCTTCGCATTAAGGTTAAATTACATTAAGTTGTGTTGGTGCTACCTCAGACTTCTTAATCTCGAAAACCGAAATGATAATAGTTTCTCCTTCGCAAGGCTCCGCACACAAGCTTGAAATCTCCTGAAATTAAGGCGTACGACACATCGTTAAACATTATAACCAAATTCATTTTATCAAAACAGAAACTAAGAATTTGAAAGAAAAATGTAGGAGGAAGAAGAGCAACCGAAAATTATCCATGATTCTTACTTCTCTTTCACAAAATTTCTGTGTATCGCAATCAAGAAATACTACAAATAAAACAGTAGCACGGAATAGGAAGACCTTGGTTTCAGGTTTAGCAATGCCGCGCTCAAAGAATACGGGAGCTACATTTGCGAAAACGCGTCTGAAGCCGTGCAATCTCGCCACTCTAAAGTTAACGAGTTCAGGAAAGGTACTTCGCGCGCTCCTCTCTGCATCCACAGACAGAGAAATCAAACATACATACGATTGCTCACAACATAAAATCGACGATCACGATGATGAAACGATCGAGATGATTTCAATCGACGTACCAGATAGAAGAGAACCAAAGCCGCAAATGGAAATGTATTCATCGCTGAAGCAGACAGCTTCAAAATCGGACTCGTCTCGCAGTTCCTTCGGTTCTGCTTCGTTCACCATGGAATTTGACATTCCTCGGTCCAAGGACGCGCTGATCGGAGATAATTGCCGGAGATTACTTCGAAATACCAGTCCGGAGGAGCCGGAGCAGAGAGGAGAGACAGCGAACGGAATCTGAATCTGAAACCTACAGCGGATTGGCAAGCAAAGCGAGCCGCAACGCCCTAGCGAGAGAGAACGATGAGCAAATTGGAGGGTGAGACGATCAGTCATCGCCCGGGAGAATCAGAAACAAAAAAAGGGAGTGAGATGAGCGAAGAGTAGGAATCGTGAATTGTGATGTCTTAAATAGGATAAATAATTTTAAAAAAAATAATTAAATATTTTTAAATATGCCTTTATTCGTTTGTTTTAATGATGTGAGCAGATAAATTATAGTTGTTTTAATTTCTCAATAAATATAATTGGTCGAGCCCTATTCAATAAATTGTTAAGCAATATTATAATTATTATTAATCATTTTTAAAAATACTTCATTCTAATATAATGATATAATGTTGGGATGAGGATCCCAAACTCACCGCCCCCAAATTTAAAATAAATACCTTAATTAATTGAGTTATGTTCAGATTGATGTTTTTTAAAATGCGTAGTTTTTGAAACTTAGAAAAATTATAGACACAAAATTAAAAAAAAAGGTTAAAAAATAATGAGATATTTATTACTAAATACCACAAATTTAATTTATTCAAATGATGATTTTTAAAAGCAATATTACTTATAAAAAGACTAAATAAATTATTTTATAAAATTTGATAAAATTACTACAGAACTTATTCTAAAAAATTATCTGTCCTTTTGGATTTTGACAAAATTGTGTTTTTTAATCATTATTACATATTTATAGTCAAAACATGTAATTGTAATAATTAAGTATTAATAATTATATTCTTGTCTTTCTTTTTTTTTCTTTTTTTTAAGATAATATTTTTGTCTTCTCAGACATGTATAAAAATTGCTCCACATTTCTAAAATTATTTATTCATTAATTGCTAAAATAAATAAATTTCTAATAGGTCGATCATCTCAATAAAACTTAAATTTAGTTATGAATTAATTATTAACAAACTGAATTAGAATAAATCATTAAAATAGGCAAAATAAAAGACCATATTATTAATTTTTTTTTAATATAACATGTTGGGGAGGGATTCGAACTCACGATCTCTTTGGTTGGAGGTATATGTCAATTACTATCGAATTATGCTCGCTTTGACGACCATATTACTTCATTTTAATTGCAATATGCTCTATCATGCTCCACACGTCAATACTGGATCATATATATACCACTGTGCACGTACACGACCATATTTTTTCTATTGAGATGCCTTATATATTTGGCTAAAGTTCTTCATTCTCATAGTGCCAAAAGACTAAGAAGAAACACAGCACCATTTTATAACTACTTTACTTCACACAATTAAAAAAAAAAGTCTTAATTTATATAGCTATTTACAGCATATAATTTATAGGTAAATAAACGACGCACAATTGATATTGTGGTAGGAAGCGGGGAGACCTTCATTGATCTTCTGAGGGTGAAGCATGAAAAAAGAGGCAAATGGCCGATATGTCGTCCCTTGCAATGCCTCGTTTCTTGGATTTCCATGCGAGAGCCGCGCAATCCACTAGCCTTTTGGCAGACATTTCCCTATTTGGCGTTGAGGAAACTATGTGCACCGCTTCTTGATTCGACATGACGTCCCATACCTAAGCAAACAAAAACCCACAATCATAAATCATGGATAGAAGTTAGTCCAAAAATAAGTTGATCTTTGTTCCATGTGAGTTCAATTAATATTGATTTTTAATAACATTGCTTTTAAAAAATGATTCTAGACGGTCCATGATCTTAATTTGCAACTCAATTATGCCAAATCATTTAAGTTAAGTGATTATGCAGAACCATTTTCTAACATCAATCACTTTTTGAAACTTAAATACCAAATACTCAAATAGACACTAATCTTTAAATTTAGCAATTAAAATTGTATTTTACTCAAAGTTTAAATACTACACTAACTTTTAAAAATACCGCAAAGTTAACGTCCCAATTTTATCCCAAAAATTTCTTCCTCCATTGTCTATCCAATTTTACTCCAAAATCTTCTCATATTTCATCTTAATTGAGATAAATTTGTAAGGGAAAAGGAGGGAGAGGATACGAAGCTAACCCCATCAGTAGCGACAATGACGAACTGATCAGCAGTGGAAATGAGACGGTGGGTTACATCAGGAACTGAAATGAGGCCGTACTGTTTGGTGCAGTAATCCCCAAAGGCTCTGGAAATTGCCAAACCTGGCGACTCCGACTTCGGACTCCACACTCTGTACACTCCCGGTTCATCTTTTAAACACAATACACGTCCTTTCGATTGCCTTATTCTCTCTGCCTCCTCTGCAATAACATCAAAATCTTCATTATTATTAGTATTGCCTAATGGGATGGATTTAACAAATTAATTAAACAAGGGGTAAACCAAACCAGGTAAATTAGGCCTGAAATCAACCGACAGCTGAACTGGTTTCAAGCCCCCATCATCACAAGTCACACCCAACACAGCTCGTGAATCGCCAGCATTTGCAACAACAAGATGCCGCCCCTGAAAATGCAATGCAATGCATAATTAATTAACAGAGAGACGTACTGGAGAAAATTCCAATTCCAATTTCAATTAATTACCTGTTTAACCACAGTCAAAGCCGTGGTGCCACTGTAAAAAGAATCGATGCGAGGGTGTTGCTTGAGCTCCTCGTCAATGGCGGCATATGTTTTCAGGCAGGATTGTTTCCATAGGTTGAAAGGAAGAAGGTTTTTGTCGGGTTGATAATCCATTGAAAGGTTTCGTTGCCAATTGTTCAGCAATCGAGCAGGCAATGACTTTCTAACCTCCTTGCTTATCATGTGGCCCCATGGACCATGTCCGTCAAACATCCCACAGAAAACCATGTCTTCTTGGCAACCGTAACCCTACCACCCACCATCAATAATACACCATATTTAGAAGTTATACTATATGATATCAATTTTAAATAAATATGTATTCATAAAAGTATCATTACTTTTTATTCTTTTAAACCATATCACAAAATTCATTTTCGGCGTTGAACTTTTAATAACCGTTCAAGTGGGCCTAAAATATGTACTTAAATAAAAATGTATATAACAAAATTATACTACATTAATTACGTATTATATTAAAAGTTTAACTTTGAGTTTTATTGAAATAAAAAAAAATGCCTTTTAAATTTTATCATGTTAAATGTAATATAGATAAAGGGAAAAAATTGACTC